CCGATCTTATCATGGCTATCCCCGAAGGACACTACGGAAGAATCACACCTCGCTAAAAGAAATCAATGTCGCTGCAGGAGTAATCGACTCCGATTACCGAGGCAAGGTCTCAGTCCTGCTGGTCAATAAATCTGACCTCCCATTCACCGTCAAAGCCGGCGACCGAGTTGCCCAGCTCATCCTTGAAAGGATAAGCACCCCACCAGTAACGCTAACTGACTGCATCGACGAAACAGAACGTGGGGAGGATGGGTTTGGGTCAACGGGTATTGCGTCCATCGAGGAACAAGCGGAGGACATCGACGATGATGAGTTCATCATTTCCTACTTATCCGGAATGCCGATGATCACCAAGTACGAGAAACAGGAACCCCTGGCAGTGAGGGACGTTCTGCTCAAGGAGCAACTCCCTGAACTTTCATCTGGCTACAAACGACTTCACAACGGCATGATCTGGAAGATCCACCACGACATTAGGCACGTCACCACTTCCACCGAACTTGCAGCCTCGAACGCCCAAGGCAAGACAGAAAAAACACTACCACAGATGGTACCATCCTACCTACACAATCTCCTCCCCGTCTTCGACAAAGCCACTGCTGCACGACTTCCAGACCACACCAAATATGACCACGAAATCAACCTCAAGGAGGGCTTCGCGGACATGAAGCAACAGGTCTATCCGCTCAACCCGCAGCAACGAAAGGAACTCGACAAGTTCCTCGAGGAGAACCTGAGTAAAGGGTACATTCGCCCTTCAAAATCCCCGTTGGCAAGTCCATTCTTCTTTGTTGGTAAAAAGGACGGTTCACTACGTCCCTGTCAAGACTACCGGCTACTCAACGAGAACACGGTCAAGGATCGATACCCGCTCCCGCTCATATCAGACCTCCTCGACAAGTTGAAGCACGCCAAGGTGTTTACGAAGATGGACCTCCGCGCCGGATACAACAATGTCCGAATCAAGAAAGGGGACGAATGGAAGGCAGCGTTCATTGTACCCGGAACTGATGGCAAACCGCCGCAGCTATACGAACCCACGGTGATGTTCTTTGGGCTGTGTAATTCCCCCGCTACGTTCCAGCGGATGATGAACACAATATTTGCAGACATGCTTCAAGAAGGCTGGCTCTGCATTTACATGGACGACATCCTGATCTTTTCCCAGGACAAGGCAGAACACGAAGAACGAACACGACGTGTTATCGAACGACTTCGGCAACACGACCTCTACCTCAAACCGGAGAAATGCGCCTTCGACGTCACCGAAGTCGAATTCCTCGGCATGATCATCCGTCCAGGAGAAATTGCAATGGACCCTGTCAAACTAGCTGGCATCACAGAGTGGCCGGTGCTGTCCAACCTCAGGCAAGTACACGCCTTCGTTGGATTTGGAAACTTTTACTGCTGGTTCATCAAAGGCTTCTCGGACAAAGCGCAACCGCTGGTTGCTCTCACCCGGAAGGATGTTGCCTGGACCTGGGGATCTGACCAACAGAAAGCCTTCGAAACCCTCAAGAAGGCATTCCTAGAAGAACCGGTACTACGCATGCCGGATCCCGATCGACCCTTCGCTATCGAAACCGACGCCTCCAAGTTTGCAACCGGAGCAGTACTACGCCAGCGCGACGACAACGGCGACTGGCATCCTTGCGGATACCTCTCTCAAAGCTTCAATGCAGCAGAGAGAAACTACGACATCTACGACAGGGAGTCATATGTGGTCATCCGCGCACTAGATGAGTGGAAGCACTACCTCATTGGCAGCCCATACCCAGTAACGATTCTCAGCGACCACAAGAACCTCACATATTGGAAACAAGCCAAAGACATGAACCGACGACAAGCACGCTGGGCGAGTAAACTGACTGAGTTTGACTTCTGCCTGGTACACGTTCCTGGTACCCAAATGGTCCAGAGCGATGCTCTCTCCCGCCGACCCGACCATGACGACAGTTCTAATGACAATACCGATGTTGTTATGCCCCCACCGGAAGTATGGGTCACTGCCATCGACATCGACACCCGCGACACCATCCTTTCCTTTAAGGACGACCCAATAATGAAGGAAGGCCTCACTGCGGCGTGCACTGGAGGAACACCACGCACTGGAACAGACTGGTCCATCGATGATGACCTCCTCCTATACCAGGATCGGGTCTATGTACCCCCAGATGAGTCTCTTCGCAAACGTCTTGTCTCCCACTATCATGACCTCCCCTCCGCAGGACACCCCGGTGTTCAGAAAACCCTCCTCGGCTTGCGCCGTGACTACTGGTGGCCGAGCATGGCCCAGTTTGTTGCTCGCTATGTTAACGGCTGTGGCATCTGCCAGCAAATGAAGGTTAACACACATCCAGCCCGACCGCCCATCACCCCCATTCGACCCTGCGCAAATGCCAAGCCCTTCAGCACATTCTCGTGCGATTACATCACCGACTTGCCACCGTCCAACGGCTTCGATTCAATTCTGGTCGTAGTGGACCACGACCTTACGAAGGGGGTAATTTTCATCCCATGTAACAAAACAATTGATGCTCTTGGGACGGCAGACACAATGTACCGAGAGGTCTACAAGTGGTTTGGACTCCCAGACAAGATCATCAGCGACCGAGGACCGCAATTTGCGTCCAAAGTCTTCCAAGAACTTTGCAAAATGACTGGGGTTCAATCAGCCATGAGTACGGCATTCCATCCGCAAACCGACGGCGAGACAGAACAAGTAAACCAAGAACTGGAGATCTACCTCCACTGCTTCACTGCCAATGATCCGGATAAGTGGGCTGACCATCTTCACACTGCGCAATTTGCTCACAACTCCCGCGAGCATTCCACGACGAAGACGTCCCCATTCAAACTCATGATGGGATACGAACCTCGCGGAATACCCACCGCGCACCCCGGATCAAACACGCCGCAAGCAGCTTATCGCCTCAAGGACTTGCAAAACATCCGTGAGGAAGCACATGCGGCAATGGAGATGGCCCAGAACGTCCTGGCCAAGAGAGTAAAAAGGAAGGGGGGTTCCTTCCGTAAAGGTCAGCTGGTATGGCTAGACTCCCAGAACTTGAAGCTGCCGTACCCGTCCAGGAAACTAGCCCCAAGGCGAGAAGGGCCGTTCAAAGTCCTAGACAAGATCGGAACGGTCGCATACAAGCTAGACCTCCCTAGCACCTGGCGAGTCCACCCCATTTTCCACGAATGGCTTCTATCTCCCTACTCGGAGACGGAGATCCATGGTCCGAACTACACGAGGCCACCTCCTGACCTTATCGAGGGCGAAGATAACTACGAAGTCGAAGCCATCATCGGACATCGAGAGAACAAGAGGATGCGACGCCGCGAATATCGCGTCAGGTGGAAGGGTTACTCAACAGCCGATGACTCATGGGAGCCCGAAGCAAACCTGACTGGGACGGCTGACGAAGTGCTGGCAGAGTATAAGAACAGGAAGGACTTGAGCTGAATCGATAGCAGCTCTACCCAGTCACTACATCCCCACTCGCACCAACATGTCTTCCACCCTCTCGTTCCTCGACCAGTTCAACGCCCCCTCGACCGAAGGCGGGAAAAGGCTCTCAATCTACACCCCTAAGCACACCCACGTTGGCGACAGCACCTTGCTGACGCTCCTTCTCAGTAATCCCACCGACGTTTTCAACAAGCTCAAAGCCCACAACCCCGAGGCAACCAATGCCACCGACCGCGCTGCACTAGAGGCGTATCTCTCCGCCCGCCGCGAATATGACGAGGCTGTCAAGGCAGCCGACGAGGCCATCGACCACCACAAGCGGCTCCTACGCCAACAGGACGACCGCGTCCTCACCGAGCTCATCCGGCTCGACAATCTGAAAGTTGCCCATCGCTTTCAACCGCTCTTACCACGCAGCATCCGGGCACGACACAACAAATTCATCCCGCGCGCCATCCCCAACGCGTACTTACCCCTACCCGCACCCCTACCGACGTCTGCCTTCAGGCGCCCCCCGATCCCATCCCCTTTCCTCCAAGCAACGCCGCGGAGCACTATCATCCTGGCTGACTGGCAACCCAACCCTGGTTGGACCCCGAAGGGAAGCTGCAGGCGATGCGGATCGTCTCGACACTGGGTACGGGACTGTCCGGACGTACGATGTGCAGGATGCGGAAAAGAAGCCCCTGGACACCTGGAGCGAGAGTGCGGAACCAGGCCGATGAAGCGACACGTATCCGCACCACCTGAAGAACCTGCGCGACGCGTGGGGGTGGTCGTCGACAACATGTTCCTCGAGGAAATCATCAACGAGGCGAAGGAGAGGAAGGAGAAAGAGAGGCAGACGAAAGTGGTACCTATTCCTCCACCGCGTAGCGCTAACCCCGAACCCCCAACCAGTCCCATCGCGGGACCCTCGCGCCCCCACCCTGATACACCCGTCGTCTTTCGCAAAGTCGACCCCGACTGGACACCCGACACCACTCAATGGACGTGGGACAGCTCCTGGCCACATCAGAAGCACCTCTCTGGCGAGGAATGGAAGAACGTAGGGAGGAACGCACTCAAGGAGTGGTTCGACGAAGAGGAGGACGACAGCGTAGATTGGGAGTTGTATGGAGATGGTGAGCAGTAAGTAGTCAAATGGGACTTCGACTCTGGCAGGGGGGTAATGAAACATTTATCTTTCCGTTCTATTCCTTGTACTACTAGCACCCATACTGGCACCTGTCTTAGCACTCACCCGCAGGTTGAACATTATGTAGCTTACATAATGGGGTCTGTGCGCACTTCGTACTCGGCATTGTACCACTACATTTCTCTCTTCACTAACACGACCACATAGACACAATGGTCTGTGCGCAGTCGGTACTTGTATAAGTAGTTGTACCATTAGTCGGTCGAACCCTAAGTTCGACCTGGTTATTCATTCAAGTCTCTGCTCCTCTTCGCTTGGGGTAGTGGTCATTCTCGACTTCCTCACTCGATCTTCAGGACGACGTACTGTCCATAAGTCCTCGCTCGTCGTCTACGAGTCAGGCATCGATATAGGAGTATAGACCATTGTATCAGAATGAAGGTAAGCCTCCCGCTTTTCATTCCAGATCGGTCGCAAGGCATCGGGACACTTGGAAGGTTGCCAATGGTATACTTTTGTGTCATCCTTCAGTGGGATCGTATGATTGATAGCCCGCAGAGGTGGCAATGGTGAGTCACTTGCATCCTTGCAGATCGGTGCCGCATATTGATGCAGAAACTGGCGAGCCCGCTCCAGGTGATCCTCCACAAGATCAGCTGCTCGTGACTCCAGCACACGGAGTTGTTTCCCTGTGAGTGGGAGCACAGTCGCACTGCCAATCTCTACCGTTATGGGGTTCAATCCCACAGCGACACGATGCTGATACAGGAATGGGGTTCCAAGAATCAGATCATAATTCTGTAAGTTAATCACATCGAAATACCGCTGCGACTTGACAGTCTGATACTGCAACTGCGCAGTGCAGCCGAAATTGATCTTCAAGCGAGAACCCTGCACGGCAAGATGCACCGGCAAAGGTTTTTCCAACTCAAAGATTTTCACGCCAAGCTGATGGGCCAGCCGAGCAGACATGAAGTCCGCCAACGAGCCAGTGTCCAACAGCGCACGCGCAGGATGCCCATTGACATCCACAACAACCACAACTGGCTCCGGAATAATCTGTTTAAAGTCCCGCGGAGTGCCTGCATTCCGCTGTATAGCCGGCACTGTGTCCGGACGGGGTGAGTGATTGGCCATGAGCTCGATATGGGCAATGAACTCATCGTCATTCCCGCTCGGTAATTGCGCCGCAAACAGCCACAGCAACTCGCCATCAAGGTCATCAGTGGTGAACTGCACTGGACCCAAGCTACGATGAACATAGCATGCATATAGGTTGGGTAGATCCAACCGAGGGTTTTCTAACATATCTGAGGGAAGCCGCAGCTCGAAAGCAAGGTAGGTATCGATAACTCCCACATGATCCTCCTGCTGATGGCAGACAAAGCGCTCCCCCGAACCACTCCATTCAGTGTCCTCAACCGGAAGCTCAATGTGCTCCTCCAGTAAATGCTGCACCCCATCAGCGAGAGCCTCAGTGCCAACCAGTCCGGCTGGACCCACTAAGGAACATTCTGGACCATGCTGAAACAGACGTTCAGCAGCATCCCGATGGAACCAGGCCGCAATATCGAACGATGGCTGCCGTAGCAGCCTTGATTCAAGTAGCGGCCCCGGGTCACACAGGGGACGCCGCTCGTAGCATACCACGTGCTCAGTTTCTGTTGTTTGATACACGCAGAACTGATGCAGCGGGTTATCCTCCCGACTAGGCGGCAGGCAGCAGTACGGGTAGCTTTGAGCAAGCACCCGTGCCGCGTTCTGACTGTACAGGTCGCCAAGCCGGACATACGGGCGACCGTCCCGTGAGGTACAAGGAAGGTACCGCACAGCAAATGCCTCGTTTCTCGCTACGAGCTCCTCATCCTCATCCAACCGCGCAAGCTCGCTAGCGGAGCTATCAGAGACCGAGCATAGACTCGGGCAGTCAGACTCCTCATCACCATCAGGCTCTTGTTCCAGATAACCCAACGGGCGGCCAAAATCACCAAGTGCTATATAGTGGAGCTCCAGCTCGTCAATGCGAGCTGTGGATGCTGCGAGGGCACTCAGATCACCAAAGGCAGGCTCAACACTGAATGACGTCACCCCTGGAGGCCTCCCCTTACGGGCAGACTTCACGCGGTTTGCCTCCGGACAATTGCGACTCAGGTGTCCTGGCTGTCGGCACCCAAAGCACTTGCCTGCGGCCTGCAACTCCGCCCTTTCGCGATCAGAGAGGTGCGGTACCGCCGACCGCTTGGTTGCTGACGCGGGACGTGCTGACTTATTATCATATGCCCGCGCAGGTTTGTTAGTGTCCCAGGAGACCGCCCGCGAGGCTGAGCCATGCCCTGCCATCGGACGCGAAGAACGCGCCGGCTCGGACGTCTTTTCCCGCACCTGGGGGCGGAACGCCCCACTATACAGCGGGGTCTTGATGTTGCCACTCCCCACACCGAGCGCGAGCTCCTCGGCTTCGGCGGCTTCAAGCACCTCATCCCAGCTGGAAACTGATGGGTTCAAACGAGCCCTCCAGAGCCCCTGTTGCAGACGGAAAGCGAGCCCTCGCCAAAGCTTAGACACCAGCTCCCGGTCGGACCAAATCCCAGCCCAGTTGGCTAAGGTCTCAACCTCATATGCAAATTCGCGCACTGACCGGCTGTCTTGTTTACAGGAATCAAACTTGTCCCGCATCCGCATCCGAAAGTCCGGCAGGAAACAAAAGTTGAAGAGACCCTCGAAAAGGTCCTCCAACTTCCACGTCGACGGATCCCTCGACACCGTGGACACATAGAAATCGTAAGCCTTTCCTTTGAGGAAGTATGATACGGTGACCGCATGCCTCGCAGGAGCGAGGCCGTAGCCCTCGATGTAATCCCCCATCTCTGTCATGAATTTATGAAAAGCAGGAGCATCGGGGGCACCATTGTACTTTTCCGGCTCAGGCGGTTTCATTATCGGAACACGCTTCGTACGTTGCTTCGATCGCCTCTCACTCGTCTTACGCCGCCCCGTCAAAGCCGCTGACGGACGTCCCTCATCATCATCTGAAGACGAGTCCTCTGAAGAACGAGACGACCCGCCATCTGATGGTCCCGAAGGCAGACGGCGCAAACGACCGAACACCATTCCCAAGTAGCTGCTTGGCTCTACTTGAGAGATTGGCTTCAGGACCGGTTCCTTAGGTAAGTTAACTTCTTATTCTTCTTGCCTGGCAATGCAGAGCTCATAGACGCTACAGTGCCTCGCTCACGAGAGACTTGAAGTTCAGTGAGCTGAGATTTCAACATCGAAATCTCTTGTTCCAATGCTTCCCGGCCAGGATCAACTTCCGCTGACAGAGGAGCAGGTGACGTCTGTATCGCGTTCTCTGGCGGCCGGCCGGTATCCACTGACACCCCGTTGGTAGAAGCGCCAGCAGGACGACCATTGTTTTCTGTAGAAACACTCGCGCCGGACTGGGGCACCTTACGAAGACCACCCCAATATTCCAGGGCCTCCCGTTGCTCATCAATACTCAATGGATTGCCCGCCTCATCCAAGAACAAGGCCATTGGATTGGCCAGGATCGCGTAGGCTCGTTTCTGAGCTTCTATGTCAAGATCCTCCGGAGGGATCTCTGCATTACCCCAATTGCGAGGATCAATACCCTTGCCTTTGTCCATCCTCGTGGATGGTCCCTCATCTTTTGATTCAGGACGCTCGCGATTGCGTCTCTCGTGAACCACTCGGAACCGTCTGTTGATGTGTTCCTGCTCTGCCGGGCGAAGCTCACCCTCGGCAGTCCTAATGACTTCCCTCTGGTTGGTTGTCAAAACATGTGTATTTTCCTCGGTAGCTAACCTATACACATTATCCTTGTCCATAGGATCAAGGCTCCGGCTGCGGCGGGAGCGCGTGACAGTGTGCCAGCGTCCCCCGCTGTCCGGATAATCACCGTCAGTAGGAAGGAACGCGCCCTTCACACCTCGGGCGTACAGTGCCGCTTTCCGACCGAGGTCGGTGCCGCGCACTGAATCCAAGCTCATGTCGACTGAGCCGACAGCGGAGCCCTCCGTCGGGGCGCCAGGCGCCGCCGACTGTTCTGGAGTGACGACACGGCTGTATAGCAGCCCGCGCCGAACACTCGTTGACGAGCGCCCACCGGAGTGGACGCTGTCGTGGTCCGAGAGACCGTCCTCCCTGTCAAGCGCAGGGTCAACGTTCTCAGTTTTAGCAACATGGAACTTACCAGGTACCATCGGGCTGGACGCAGGCGCGGCCGGCGACGAGTAAGCCCGGCGAGATCGCAGGTTGTAAGGCATCTCAGTTGGAAATGAGATGCTAACGGTCTTGAAGGTGTCGACAAGTCGGAATCTCGAGTTGATCAGACTCGAGGGTTGCCAGACGTCGACGAGGAGAGCAGAGTGTTTTTGAGTTAAGCTAGTAGACTTTTTACTGTCAAAAAGATGTGACGCTCGCGACAAAGAGTGTCGGTGGTGTCACAAAACGCACGCGAAAGAGACAGGTTATAAGTCTGCTCTTTGATTCGTAGTACGCTACCCTGTAGTTACGAAGCGTCCGGGCTTATATACTACAGGGCATAGTCAAATTTACCGGCGCTCTGCATCTGACTCGACGAGGAAAATCGTCGGTCTCGGTGAATGTCCTAGCCGAGACGTCCGCACGTTCCGGCTCGTTACAGCATGTTCCCCGCTTCACAGTGCGCACTCACATTTGAAGCTTGGCCTGACAGCATAGATACTGTTGAAACATGCCGACCCGCGTGGTCAGGAACGAGCTCGAAAGCTCGGGCGCGCGAGTAGCCGGGGGCCGGAGGCCCCTATCGTAGTATATAACAACCCCGCGCGATGTACATACTGCACGCGATTGTCCCTTACGGGCATCGCTACGCCCGTGGACAAACGCGCCCCGCGCCGTCGCACCGTTGTTCTAACAGATACTACAAGCCTGAGTAATATCACAGGTAGTCAGAGGTATATACTGTTCAGGCATCATGCCTGGCGGGAGGCTAAAGTCTCAAGTGACGGTATGAGGCCAGTACATTGAACGTACTGGTATTTGACTTGGGGCATCTTTGACTCGGAAGAAGGGGGTATAGCACACCGAGAATCCCATACGGCACTGATTGCTACATCCTGGGTGACAAATGCAACAGTACAGCTTTACTTTTGTCTTATACAGGGCGTCCTTCCCGCGACGTCGGGCCCTAGTCAAATAGCAATAACCAAATAGCTGTGTATGGTTGGAGCTTATGTGCTAAAGAGACGAGACACAGAAAATGTCGAGGACTGCGAATCATAGCAAGGTGCGTTATTCCACTCCTTTTGTCTCCATCTTTGTTGTCGCTTTAGACCAAAAGGCGTCCTTTCCCTCCATATTTGTGCAGTCTCTGCGCTGTATGGTCGTATACATGCACCCCTGAGACGGTTATCTCTCCAAGCCCCTGTGTTTGTGCGTCGAAGATGATGCATAGCTCTGCAAGATGGCGTAAGTGGGAGGGTTGCATGGGGAACACAAAGTGACGGTGCAAACATACGAGATGTTTAGACGACAGGCTAATCGCCCAATGAGAGGGGATACGACTAGGTCGAGATGGGCCACAGTGTTGCACGTCACGCCTTGTCGGGCTGCTCGTCGGCTGAGCGATGTCATTGCGGCTTTGTTAGCGTATCGAGCCGCGTCACGTCCGTTCCACCTTCGCTGCCCCTCGCTGTATTAGACCCTCCTTGTTCTCATCCTGTTTTCTCTTCGTCTTCTCTGTGGCGATAGGTTTCTCCTCGGATGCAGTGGGTTGCCTGACAAATTAACGCTGATCAACGATAGGGCTCTTCGAGCAGAAGAGGACGCTCACCCCTCACCGCCTACGGACCTATTCGATGGCTGCAGCACAGACTGCTCCGTCTCAGCCTTACTGTCAGACTTTGACCCTGATGCAGTGGTTCGCATCAGTCCATTGCGTGATGCTATACTGCGCTGAAGGTACGTGTAGATTGTTAGGCATCTGCATCTGCACGACGAATGTGAAGATGGTGATGCCGATTTGGCTGGCTATCTGAAGCCACTCGTACCGTCTTCTCTGTCATTCATTCGACGGGACAGGGGCAACGTTTTCTTTCTCGAGCAATCGCTGGCTGCGCCGAGTGCCCTCCTGTCTTGGCGTGATTTTGCGCCCAGTTGGTCGGCTGGGAACCTTCACAACAGTGGACAAAGAGTCGACCGTTGTAGTGGCATTTGGGGCTGCAAGCCTTGAGTTGCCTGCCATTGTGCCACTCGATGGCAGTCGGCGCGCCACGCCTGCATCGCAGCCAGGATTTGAGCAGCAAGCTGCTCATCCACATTCTGTCTTGTATATCAGCCTGATAGGCATCTCTAGATTACTCGCATCACATACCAAGCCCGCTAGAAGCTCTGTAGCTGCCGTCAGTCACGGCGTGTTGGACACGAGAGATGCGAGGTTGGTGAGTCTGGTAGCCACTGTGAAGACTGTTGATGAGTTGTGGCGGTGTGGGTAAGGCGGGTGCTTGTTAGAAATTGGCGAATGTACTCGGCGGTGTAGTGATCGAGTATGAGGAGTTCGTGGCTGAGATGCTGCCGCGGTCAACGGTCTTATACAGCGCGCGCGTAAGTCACGGCTGCGACTGTCCGTGGCTACGGATCCTTTGTGCCGTCTGCTTTGTATCAAATCTTGGACGTTATCATTATCCCCTTGTTCTACGTCTGTCTCAGTGGCGAAATACCATCTATGCTGGCCGTCTCCCCACTCGGTCGGCCAGACGCATCCGCGAGCAAGCATTCTGCATATCCTGCTAAGAGCAGGGAATGCTCGAGCGGCAGCTTCGCATTGTTGACCACGCCTTGATTTGTACATTGAAGTGGCATTGTTATAACAACCAGATTCGTGAACTGGAACGACCAGAATAGAAATGCATATGAAATGGTGGAAGCACCGAGATCTGGTAGACAGATGCATGAGCAATCCAGCGTCACTCCTTGCTCGCGTCCTCAAACCATCCCAACAGCTCCGCGCGCTCCACATCGCCAATACAAGGATTATTGGGGTTCTTCAGATGGCGCTCCAACGCGTCCTTCCGACTGAACACCAGCGGGCATCCACCGATCATCCGTCGATCTGAGCCCGCATTCATCGTCCCGAACACCATCTCGACCGGGATTCCACAGCACCTCCATTTGTCCTGCTTTCTGTGCGTCTCTTTGTGCCGCCTCATCGCGCCCTTCGTCAGCACCTTCCCGCACCCTTCGACCGTGCACTGGACCAATTTAGGAACACGTGTAGCCCGTGGTTCTGGTACGATCGTGCCGACACCGATTTGGACGTTGCGTCTGCGGACGCGAATGGGCGGGCGCCGTGCCTTGGATTTGCGCGTCTGCGAAGTCGATGGCGAGGACGTTGAGGTGAGAGTGGACGATGGCGGGCGAGAGGGATGGTAAGGGACACTGCGTTTCTTGCGAGATGTGGTGGCCGACGATAGATTCCTTGGGAGCAGAGAGCACGTAAATTTGTAGTCGCACGCGCCATTGTCGCTATTTGACGAAGAATAGGTAGCATATGGGGAAGGGGAAGGGGAGTACCCCGACAGAGTGGCGTCTGAGCACGTCGAGACATTCGGCAGCGTGTCGGGAGAGTTGGCAGCGTGCGCAAAATCGTCCAGCGCCGATGCAATCTCATAGCTCCTCGGGTGAGCTATGAGCGTTGGGTCAATGGGAGGGCTGAGCAGGCATTCTGCCGTATCGATCACGTGTTCCGACCCGTATTTCGACGCGAAGAGCATCGCATCGTACGCGTTACACAGTACAGCACTGATGAAGGCGGGTTAGTGAGGAATAGCAACATAGTAAGTGGAACACCAACGACTGGACATCTGGGTGCCATTGAGGTGTGTACACGTCCTCGGGGGGACGCATGACATCGAGGTACGAGTTTTCGGTTATCCATGGAGTGGGGAAACCACCGACCGGCTGCTCGGCCTGCGGAGGTGACGATGAATGTAGGCGCATGTCCTGCCCAAGTGAAAGCGTAATGTCAGATGCATCAAGAGGACCGTCGAGAGGATATGTAGCGAAGGAGGTAATGGGATTGTATAACATCTCGGCGAGGGGCGAGTGGCGTGTCGCGAATAAGACAAGAGCGAGGTGTTGGGGGCATCCCCGAGTGGTGCCCAGCCATGCCTTATATCCTGATGGTGCCCCGACATTGTGCGGCAGGGCAGTATGCTCGCCGCCTCTGGCCGCTGTTCTTGCGTCCTAATTGGGGAGCCTGGGATGGGAACGTTTCGGTATAAGAACATCGTGGCAGGTGAAGTGGTGGGGAATTTGCAAATTGGCACGTGGCGGCGCCTACCGCGCCGTGCTCCGTTCCGTCGTCCTTTAGCGCTGTCTTGCTACCAACATACAAAACTCATTATAAAACATTTTCTAGCTTTTTGTAGTCTGCGCTTGCGACGTCGAGTATCTGCTGCAAATATAAACGAATCTCTCTGTCGATCATGAGCCACGTTGGGTATGCACTGGCCCTGAGCCCTGGTTCAAACGACGCGATCGCCAAAGGTGCGGATCTCTCTCTGTAAAATACTTGACTCACCAACGTTTCCTAGCTTCCAGTGATGCGATATGTTCTCTCCATCCTCCAGGAATCTCTGCGCCTGAGACGTCGGGTACCTGCCCCAAGTATAATAGTGCCCTTCAGTCGTCCATGAAGGAGGCAGTGCGAGGCCGCAGTGACTAGGCGTCCGGAAGTAACGCGTTTAGACGTAGAGTGTATACCGTGGCGCCTTTTCCGAGGTGGAACACGGGATGCTGGATGAGACAGCACGATCGCCAGATTCAATGGTGTGGGTCTCTCCGCTATCATATCTGTGTGTGTATGTGTGTGTGTGGAGACTCGATGTCGATGTGGCCATCGTCTTCCGCCCACCGGCGCGTGCGTGGTTATCTTCTTCTTACTACGAACGGTCAACAAGCTAGATCGTTTGCTGCAGTTGAACGGAACTTGCCCTTCGCAGAGGTCACCTGTTCATGCTCGTCTCGTTCGCGGTCACGGAGCGGCTATAGGCCTCGCTTCTCCCTTGGCTTCATCTCACTTGTGCATTCTGCATTCTCATCGTCGACTGTTTCAGCCGTATTACGCTTTTGCATGTTAGTTCTCGTGACAGCACGTACATTCATGGTCTCTGAAATGTTGCTGTGGTATGGCACGGGCAGCGGCGGGCCATGTTTTCATTCTTGGGATCTTAGTGACCACGCAGGTGCGTGCTAGGAGGACAGGTGAAGATATCAATAGATCACTCACCCACATCTAAAGGATCGCCACTTCCTCGCGCAGGTGTTGATGTGGGGCATACTCACGTAATATCGGGAGGTAGTTAATATCAAGCTTGGGGTTGTAGAGGAGCTGTCGTTACCCAGTAGCTATTATTAGTATTGAGAGTGTTGACACAGTCTGTACTTGATGTTCTTCCGCTACGGGAAGACATGAACATCCACGTCGCTGCCCAATTTTCCTCCCCCACATAAGACATACGGCACCTTGAGTATATAACACGTTTCGCACCACCGTACCGCGATATCAATGTGGAGCAATCACCTTTCGCTCTCACCTTCAATAGCTATCAGTTGCGAGGCGTCTGATTTTATGACGCAATCTCGTGACCGTGCGCAAGCAGCCATCCACGTGGAGACGATTTCGAGACGAGTGCCCCCAATCGCAAGCTCGGCAATATTGCAGAATGCCAAATCGGCGGCTTTTGGCGAACCTGTTGTCAGAAACTCTTTTTTGAACCCTTTGCATTCACAGCGTCACTAGGCGATCTGTTTCAAAAGAAGTAATTGTCGACTTGGAGCATGGATTGAGTCGGGAGCAGCTGTGCGTCGCAGGTCTTTTTCGAGACATTGTCTAATCTCTTGTATGGTTGATTCACTCCACGTTTAGTGAAATAACGCTGCATTCCTACTGCGATGCACCAATGACCCTCTCACAACATATCGCGTCCGCTGTTATCGCTGGAGCGGGGATCTATCCGATGCTTGTAGTTTCAACCGTCCGAGGTATGTTCAAAGTCCCACATACCATATGGCCACCGTTCTATGGGTTGCGATATATGAGCCCGGGAATGTGTATCGGCACTCATGGAATTGCGGAGCTCGAGCGTGGTTGTGTGCCACGTATGGACTTGGCGGACCACCGTACACCCCGAATGCAGCGCATGGCGAGACGCTTCTATCACAGAGCTGACTGGGATAGGCCTATACCACGCCTTATATCCAGATGTGCCGCGCCCATCAATGGTTTGGACTGGTGTGCGGTGTAGTAAATGATTGACATTATTCTTAAACTCGCAGTTGTGCGCTGCGATGCGATTGTGTGTCTCTTCCAGTCTCATGCGCCATCCTATACCCATATGTTGATGCCATATGTTGATGCCTGCACGTTCACATGGCCTCATGGAAGAGCCCATACCGTTGTTTTGTCTGATTTTATCTTTGGCAGGTGTTCCATTTGTAGAGCGCCTCTGAGCGCCATCCAAACGGCATGATGGCCACAGGTTGTGGATGGCGATGGCTTACTCCGCAAGTCGCAGCCCACGGGGATACCTCACACCCTGACCGGGCGATAACAAAATACACCAAAGTACGGACAGCGAGGGTTTCGCCTTACGCGACCTCAGGCTGACACATACATCAGACAATACGATTGAACAGGCGTCCGTGATGTTCAATCACAGAATCTAGGACATGAGAGGACAGACGAAGGTACGTGCTATCTAAGTGGATACAGCACACTCACAGCGATGGTGTCGTACAAGGCTGAGCTCAATAGATAGCAACAGGAACCCGATAGCGGGAATACGAAGCAAGGAAGCAACGGGGAGGATAGAAATCGGTGAGTACGAACATTTTCGAACCGCATTTCCATTGTGTTCTCGTGCAAGTGTCCATTCACTTGTTTCCGCTCTTGCTCGCCTTTGCACGACCGTCCTACGCGCAATTCGGCTTGTCGTCCATATGCCGCTTTACCGCGTCGCGCCTCGTATATTTGCTCCCGCAGCGATGGCAAGGGTACATGACGCCGTTCCATCCAAGGCATTGCTTGCTTGTATCTATGTGTCGCAGGCAATCGTGGTAGCGCTGAAATATTCTGCCAGGACAGTGTGGGCAAGCATAGCGCCCGTCTGTGGTCTTCAGTGGCACAACACTGGGGGCAGGCTTGGGATCCGCCATTGCTGTCGCCTTTCCCTTGCTTGCGGTGGTGGTTATAGAGCGCGTACGTTTTGGCGGGCGGATAAAGTGGTTGGGGACGACGGGCACCATGTGGGGTGCGGGCTCGATCCTCTTGCGCTTGCGAGTACTGCGCCGCAGGGAATGTTCCGAATTCACCCCTGTCGCTTCAGCTCGATGCTCCGTTAATTGTGGGGCCTTGTGCAGTGCTGTTGCGCCAGGGTGAGAGTTAGGCAATGACCTGTCTGAGAGAGGGGTAGCCAAAGGCAGTCCAGCTAAAGACGGGGTGCTGTCGATGGCCTCCTGGTCGTTACAGCTGGGCTCGCCGTCGTCTGCAGCTTTTGCAGCATCCAGGTTATTTTGATGCACCTCGTCTTCGACTGAGGTATCGTGGATGTGATTGTCGTATTTAGTTGTGGTTTGTTCCTGATCTACCTCGTGTAAATCAGGAGCAACGACGCTAGACACGAGTTGTGTATCTGCGCCGGGTGACGAAGTGTTGGTCCTAGTGTGACCACTGCGTGCATCCTTGAAGTGAATGTCATCGTTGGCCTCCTGATCGGATGGCGTTGTAACTGGCCCAGGGAGGCCCGAACCGATCTGGCCTGCTGAGGCGACGTCACTCATGGGCCCATGTGCACTTGGCTCCGACAAGATATCGAAAGCAGATGGGGACCTTGCAAATAGGTGGCCGTTGCTGAGAAACACATCCGTGGGGTCTGACCACGCGGAGAAGGCGGCAGCGGCGGCAGGCTACATAGGTCGACTGTGAGTAATACGCAACTTACCAATGGGAGACAGACATCCGCACCTTGGGTGACTCATCGGTGTCACTCAGCAACTCCAGGGGTTCATTCTGGCATCTCAATGCCCTCCAGATTGGCAACGGCTGCAGCGCTGCTTGACTTCCCAAGGAGTCCACGCGGAGGTCTGAATATAAGCCAGGCTCAGATGGGAGCTGAGATACATCGATAAAATCAGAGAGGTCGAGAGCACAAGTCGTCATGTTGGTACAGCAGAGTGGAATGAGGGGAGAGGGGAGAGCAGAGGTTGAGTGGAGGCATCGCCCTTCTCATTATAAATAGCTGTTGGCGCGGAGATTGGCACCGGAACGTTGAAAGTGAGCTTCTCATGACGAATGCGTGCTTCGAACGCTGATGAGAGACAGCGAGCAGGATGAATTTGGCAATTTGCCAAGCCTTCGTCCTCATTGTTCTGACTATGCAAAGTACAAGGTACTCCCGTTTTCGGCGTTGCGCTCTCACTGACGCAGGTCATTTCGATTTTCAGGACGTATACATTCAATCTGGCACGGTCTGAACGGGCCAAATAGTGACCCAGGACTGCTAAGGAGAACATATATCCTTGAAGGCATCGCACCGAATCGCTTTAAGGAAGAATAAGATGCGCCGCGCCAAGACAATGGTACGCAGAGATGCAAGTTGACAGGATGAGTGTCGCGGATTGGTGTCGGATGATGGCGGAGGGGAAGGAGTACCTATCTCTCCTGTTACTTGCGCTATTTAATACTGCAGCCCTTTGCCTCTTCCTGCATCAACAAAATGGTTCACGATGCATTGTCATACCCTGAAATCACGATTTCAAACAATGACCGAATCTCCACTGAGACTAAATATAGCACCCCTCTTGGGAGACTCCGGCGACTGAGAATGACGAGTGGATGATGGGTTTGGCCAGACTAATTATCTGCCAATAGCCCCACATGAAAGCATACCATGTTCTGCCATAGAATAATCGTGGGCAAGTCCGGAATGGCTGCATCGCTGACTAACTTTGAATGAGAAACTGTTATCTGGATGTCATGGATTGCGACGGCAGAAAACGTGATAGACGCCGATAGGGTACAGTCGAAGGGGTCGTTACCGAGAACGAGTTCGTGGCAACCAACGAGGTACGTTGGAGGGATGAATGAAACATTACTTCTCTAGAAATGATAATAATCTCATGCAAACAGACCAGGGAATTTGCGATTTATATATAAAACAGAGAAGAAACAGAACATGAGTAACATCGAGAGCTGCGATCAGAAGGGGACATCATCTTACTACTGGCTCGCATCCTCGAGCCATCCTAGCGCATCCGCCACATCCACATCACCCACGCACCCCTTAGACTCGCTATTCAGGTGACGCACTAGTGCGTCTTTCCGACTGCAGTGCGTCCCGCACCCACCCACCATCCATCGACCCTTGTGCTCATACGGCTCTGCACTCGCCGGAATGCCGTACTCTGACGCCAGCTCGACCGGCACTCCACAGCATGACCACTTTCCTGGCAGCCCATGTGTCTCTACGTGCCGCTTCATCGAGCTCTTCAAGAGCACCAGATCGCAAGACTTGCATTTCACCATGCCAGGTTCATCCATGTCCTCGGGCTCGGGGACCTTGCCGTCGACCTGCACATTGCGTCTGCGGGTATGGCGTGGGGAGCGACGGGCATTTGAGCCACCTGCACGAGGGGATGGTGATGAAGAGTCGCTCGCTGATACCGAGCATGACGACCTTGCACGATTGCGGCGGTAGGGGTGATGGCGGTGTTCACGAGACTGCACGGAAGAGCGGGTGGGCAGCGACAGGGAACGCGACGATCCGACCTCATTGGCGCCATGGACGCTACATGGTGAGGGCGTGGTCGCATTTGGTGAGTAGGAAGGAGCGTATGGCAACGGAACAGACACCAGAGACGATGATGAAGGCGAGATCAACACAGGAGTGTCCCTGGAATGAGTGGGATCGCCCAGCGCTGAAGCAATCTCGTAGGTGCTCGGATGAGCGAGCAGGATGGGGTCGATCTCCGAGACAGATGTAGCGCATTCGATTCTAGTCGTATTGTCGGCGTCGTATCCTAGCATCAGGAGCATCCCATTATGAGGTGCAGTGCTAACGAAGTCAAGGCTGTGTTAGTGAGAAATGTCAGTACAAAAGTAAGAAACTCACGAGTAAATGTGTGAATACGAGACGGAGTCGTGGGCCTCGCGAGTACCGAGTGGGCTCTCCGCATAGAAGTACGATGGCGCTTCTGATGGCTCTGCCGACCATAGAGCAGAAACAGACTGCCCAGCCTGGGTGTGTACGCAAGAGTCTAAACATAGAGACTGTTCGAAGGTCGAGGCAAGCCCCCATACATTGAGGGGATCGTCGAGAGGATACGTAGGGAAGGAAGTAATAGGATTGTATGACATCTCGGCGAGGGGTGAGTGGCGTGTCGTGAATTGGACAAGAGCGAGGTGCTGGGGGCATCTCCGAGTGGTGCCCAGCCATGCCTTATATCCTGATGGTGCCCCGACATTGTGCGGCAGGGCAGTATGTTCGCTGCTGTTCTAGTGTCTTAATTGGGGAGCCTGGGATGGGAACGTTTCGGTATAAGAACATCGTGGCAGGTGAAGTGGTGGACAATTTGAAAATGGGCACGTGGCAGCGCCTACCGTGCCGTGGTCTCCGAGTACTTATTCGTACTGTGTTTTGGCGATTACCATTGAGACGATAGACTTATGAAATTGTTGGGCAATAAACAGACCTATGATACAGCGATCACTCGCTACCATGGGGCGATGGTGGTCTGGGGGGAATCTGCAGTACTGCAGGCATGTAAGAACAATGTTTTACACAATATGCTGAATATTTAGCAGACGAAGAGGAACCCAGTTACTGAGACGATATCGTGCTTCATGTAGCCAGCAGTTGAGCCGTCGTTGATGATAAAGGTGACGTTTTGAGCTCTCCTTTGAGCTTCATCTTCAACGGCTGTCAACACATGCTATTACGCCTATGTCATGGTCAGGCTCGAAAAGCCATGTATCAGTTCCTAGAGGTCAGGAACCTGCCATATACACTCAGGCGGATAGCGCACAGTAGAGCCGTAACGCAGCAGGAGTACGTGAGTGTTGCGCGGATATTTGTTATACTGGGCAGGCTGTCGATGTATTCCAGCACGGCATTTCAGGAGTCATAAGTCCTATAATGTGGCACTTGAATTGTGAACAAAGAGCATAATTGAGGTTCACGTCGCAAGGATGCGCACGTAGAAAGCCGCGTCACAGCATGTGGCTGCTGCAGAACCAGACAACAAACCGGCAGTGCACAAAGGTATGCGATGACACCTCGCTGGTCCCGTCGAAGTGCACTCGCGTAGCAACGAGATCGGCATCTCATGGCGTAGTCTCTAAGGCTGCGCCGCAGATACAGCGAGCTGACGCTAATGGCCTTCGCCTCAGCCATCACGGCAGCGGGGCCTAGCAGAGCCTCAAGCGAGAGACGATCCAGCAATAAAGATGGGAACACTAGTTCATAGTAAGATGTCAAAGGAGAGGTACACGCGTGGTCCAGATGTTTCGCGGAACCTTTCCTGTTGGCCGTAGATACACGAAGCAGCGGTACATATCATGTCTGGCTCAAGCACTAGCGACAGCGATGATGATGTATCACGTACCTGGGTGTGATGCCATCTCACACTGCAGATCCCAGCATCGCTGTCTACTCTTTCCAGATGTCATAAAGTGACGAACCGACTGACAGAGCGTATACTAGTTGCTTGGATTGACGAAACCGTTCAACAGAAGATAAACGGCTTTCCGTCAACGATCACGATGAGGGCGGCGATTGATGCACCGGCGCGGTGAAGTCTGGACAGGTCAGCTGAGATCTGCGTCTTCGTCATGGACGAACCACTCGAAAGCTAGCGTTCTATTTGTGCAGAAAGAAGAGGGCGAAGTCCTGACTGAAGCTGGCTGTGCTCTAAGAGGCCATCCGGAGACAGCCGGGTGGATCTGACGTGATCGAGATGCATCTGGCGCGTCAGCATGTGTACGTAGCCCGCTCGAACATACGTACTCCTCAACAGTGCACACTCACACTTGATCTGGCAGCATAGGCATTACAAGGAATATCAGAAGCACTCATAGACATGACTGTTCAGGCGTCGTGCCTGGCGAGAGGCTGAAGTGACGGTTTGAAGCTAATATATAAGACGTGGTGTTATTTGACTTACGACCTCTTCGACCTTCGACTCCGAAGAGGAGCGTTTAGTTTTGATAGGAACCCCATGTGGTCCTGGATGCTGCATTCTGGTCGCGACAGCAACAAACGCACAACTATATTCACATTTCCATACAGGATGATTTGGGGGCAAGGTCCTCCTCGCGATATCGGACCCAGTTAAACGGTAACAACCATCTGGCTGTGTGTCGAAGATGAGAGTGACACAGAACTGGCCGAGGACTACAAATAATAGCGAGGCGCGTTATTTTACTCCTTTTTCCTCCCCCGTTGTGGTCGTCTTGGGCCGAAAGGCGTCTTTTGTCTCCATATTGATGCACAGTCACTGTGTATACAGTCGTATGCACCCCCGAGACACATTTCTCTCTCAAAGCTCCTGTGTTTGTACATCGAGCACGATGCGTAGCCCTGCAGGATGGCGTAAGAAGGAGGGTTAGATGGGGAACACCAAGTGACGATGAGAACGTACGAGATGGGTAGAAGGCGGGCACGGTTCCCTAAGGAGATGAGAGGCGACTAGGTCGAGGCTGCTGGTCATGGGCCGCAGTGCTGCACCTCAGGCCTTGTCGGGCTGCTTGTTAGCTAAGCGATATTATTGCAGCTGTGTTGGCGCGTTGAGCCGCGTCACGTCCGTTTCTTCTTCGCTGCCCCTCGCTTTATGGGATGCTCCTCGTTCTCATCTCGCTTTCTCTTTGTCTTCTCCGTGGAGATAGGCTTCCCCTCGGATGGCGTGGCTTGTCTGATAGATTGATATTAATCAGCGATGGGGCTCTTCTAGCGGAATCCGTAACAAGGGAGGTCACACCGACTCACCCTTCGGCACCTACGAACCCATTTGATGGCTGTAGCACGGACTGCTCCGTCTCAGCCTTGCTAACGGGCTTCGAGCCTGGTTATATGAAGCAATCAGTCGACTGCATGCCGCTATACTGGACCACGCTCGCACCGTCTTCTTTCCCCGTCTCATGTGACTGGACAGAGGAAAGGCTCTCCTTCTCGAGCAGCCGCTTGCTCCGCCGGGCGCCCTCTGGTCTAGCCGTTATCTTGCGGCGAGCTGGTCGGGTTGGCATCTTCACAGCAGTCGCAGATATATTCACAGATGAGGCAGGCCCTGGTGTTACCAGCGTTGAGCTGCCTACTATTGTGCCACTCGATGGCAGTGGCCACGCCAAGCGGCGTATCGCGAAGAAGATTTGAGCAGCAAGCTGCTCGTTCGCACTCTGTTCCCGGGAGTAAGTCTCTAGGCATTGCGAGTGTTACTCGCATCACGTACCAGGCTCACAGTGAGGTCCGTGTCCGCCGCCCGTGACGATTCTGGTAGGTATGGCATGCTGGACGCCACAGTTGCGAAGACGGTGAGTGTGGTGGCCATTATGGAAACCTGTCGATGAGCTGTGGCGGTGTGGGTAAGGTGGATGTTTGGTGGGGGTCAAAGGATGTGCTATGCAGTGTGAAGGCCGAGTATGAGGAGCTCGTGGCTGGGATGCCGCCGCGATCAGCGGTCTTATACTGTGCGCACGCAGGTCACGGGGTTGTGACTCCTCGTGGCTACAAGTCCTTTGTGCCATTTGCGTTGTGTCCTATCTTGGACATTATCATTATTCCCTTGTTCCACGCTTGTATCAGTGGTAAATGCCATCTGTGCTGGCCGTCTTCCCACTCGATCGGCTAGACATTTTCGCGAGGAAGCATTCTGCATATCCTGCTATGAGGGAATGCTCTAAGGCGCAGCTTCACATTTTACATTATAATGCTGTTGCTATAAACGTATCGTCTGTATACTGCAGAATGAAGCAAGCGCTAGACCCGAATAGAAATACACAGGAAATGGCAAAAGCACTGATATACGGTAGAGCAATCCAACGTCACTCCTCGCTCGCGTCCTCAAACCATCCTAACAGCTCCTCGCGCCCAACATCACCAATGCAGGGATTGTTGGGGTTCCTCAGATGTCGCTCCAACGCGTCCTTCCGACTGAACACCTGCTTACAACCACCGGCCATCCGTCGATCTGAGCTGAACCCGAACACCATCTCGACAGGCATTCCACAGCACTTCCATTTCTCTTGCTCCCTATGGGTCTCCTTGTGCCGCCCCATTGCGCCTTTCGTCAGCACCTTCCCGCATCCTTCCACCATGCATTGGACCAATCTAAGAAGACGCGTAGCCCGTGGCTCTGGTACGGGCGCGCCGACTCCGATTTGGACGTTGCGTCTGCGGACGCGAATGGGCGAGCGCCGTGCCTTGGATGTGCGCGTCTGAGAAGTCGATGACGGGGACGCGGAGACGAGACTGGACGACGACGGGCGAGAGGGATGGGAATGGACGCTGCCGTGCTTACGCGATGTGGTGGCCGACGATCGATTCCTTGGGAACAGAGAGAACGAAGCCTTGCTGTAGCACTCGCCATTGTCGCTGCTTGACGAGGAATCGGTCGCATATGGGGAAGGGGAAGGGGTGTACACAGACAGAGTGGCGTCTGAGCACGTCGAGGCGTTCGACAGCGTGTCGGGAGAGTTGGCGGTGTGCGCGAAATCGTCCAGCGCCGATGCTATTTCGTACGTTCTCGGATGGGCTATGAATATTGGGTCGATGGGAGGGCTGAGCAGGTATTGTGCTGCATCGATCACGTGTTCCGACGCGAAGGGCATCGCATCGTACGCGTTACACAGTACACCACTGATAAAGGCGGGTTAGTGAGGAATATCAACATAGTAAGTGGAACACCAACGACTGGACGTTGGGATGCCACTGAGGCACGCCCTCGAGGGGACGCATGACATCGAGATACGAGTTCTCGGTTATCCATGGAGTGGGGAAACCACCGGCCGGCTGCTCGTCATGCAGAGGTGACAGCATAGTTCCAGATGTATTAAGAGGCTTGTCGAGAGTATATGAAATGAAAGAGTCGGCCTGAAGGTATGCCATCTCGAGGGGCGAGTGGCGTGTCGCGAATAAGACAAGAGCGAGGGGCTGGGGCATCTCCGAGTGGTGCCCAGCCATGCCTTATATCCTGATGGTGCCCCGACATTGTGCGGCAGGGCAGTATGCTCGCCGCCTCTGGCTGCTGTTCTTGCGTCCTAATTGGGGAGCCTGGGATGGGAACGTTTCGGTATAAGAACATCGTGGCAGGTGAAGTGGTGGGGAATTTGCAAATGGGCACGTGGCGGCGCCTACCGCGCCGTGCTCCGTTCCGTAGGTTTTGGGCGCTCGTTTGTTCTCAGAGAGAACTCATCAACATATCGTAGCTTGTAGTGATGTGTTCTGTTATCTATGAATTCTGGATATCTCTGCGCCTGCGACGTCCAGCATATTCCTCAAGCCGAAGTATGACAGTGTCTCTATCGTTCATCACGGACGCTGGAGAGAGTGCGACGCTGCAGTGATCAGGCGTCGGGAAGTAACGCGTTTTAGACGTTGAGTATGTATCGGTCCTGACAAGGCCGATATCTCTGTCAAACTCGAGGTCAAACATGAAGTGCTGGACGAGACGACGCGATCGCCAGATCTCGTCGGTGTGGGTCTCTCCGCTATCATCTCTGTGTGTGCGGAGACTTGATGTCAAGGTGGCCGTCGTCTTCTACAATCGCCGGCGCGTGGATGATTATCTTCTTTTTATGACGAGCGGACAAGCTTGATCGTTTGCTGCAGTGAACGGATCTTGCCCCTGTCAGAGGACCTCCATTCATGGTCGTCCCGTCCCGTTCATGCTTACGGAGTGGCTATACGCGTCGTGTTTTGCCTGGCTTGGTTTCACTTGTGCATTCTGTTCTTTCGTCGTCGACTATTTCAGCCTTACCACGATTTTGCAAGTTAGTTCTTGTGAAAGCACGTACATTCGGGAGACGTCGTAGTCAGCGGTGGTGGGTCATGATGGTCCTTCCATCCCCAGAACTCCAGTTACCACGCAAATGCGTACTAAGGAGGACAATTTTGAAGTGAATATATCACGAGGTCACTAACCCACGTCTAACGGATCATCACTCTGAAGGTCTGCCGAGTCGTTGACTGTAAGGGCACATTTCAGAACGACAAATGATCTCGCTGCTTTCATCCCCGTCCAGTGTTCTGTTCATGCTAACTGCGGTCAATGAATGCAGACGAGACCACTGCGAGGAGCACGCCTCTGCGGAGCGATATCACGTACAGTAGAATCCGACCTACCCTTTGTCAGCGCCCTACCGGTTGGCATGTCACGTCCGCGACAGGGACATCGGTTAGCCTATAGCGTGCCAATTCTTCATTCAGCATGTCCTCACACACATACTACTCATTTTCAGCGCCGCCTTCGTACGCAACTCATACAGCTGTGGCAAACGCACTCCCCTGCAAGAAGTGTGGAATTTGCGTTGCAAGGCGGAATTCAAAACCAGACAACTCTCAGTCAACGATCTTCGCAGACTTCTGAGCTCTCCTCGTATAATTCTAGAACATGTCGAGGTGGACACGAGTGACGAGTGGCAGTCTACGTAATGTTGCGCGTCATGTGGGGATTTGAATATCAGCTTTACGTCAGCGCCAATCTGCTTCCGTCAAGTCCCGGAATGGCAAGTCCGGGTTCGAAATAGCCTGCCGCGGACATTGATCGGCGGACACTTGGGCTAAGAGCCTCGCTAGCAGAACGCGTTTTGTAACAATTCGTCATGTCGACACCTTTGAAAGGATCGTGCTTCTGCAAATCGGTGACCTATGCGGTATCCGGTGCGCCAGTACTCAGCGCGTTCTGCCATTGCACACAATGTCAGCGTCTGGCCGGTGAGCATGCTCCGTTCCCGGTGAACGCCATGGACGTTTGAGCAACTGATACATATACGTTCAGCGTCCCCTTTCGTACATACCATCCACTTCGAGGGCTCCGCAGTCGTTTGGACGCATAGCGAGCCGCACGACAATCGCCTTGACACCTTCGTCGTTCCGACGAAGCCGTGGAAGACACGGTACCGCTGCAAGAACTGTGGCGTCTGTGTTGCCAGTCGGAACTCGAAGACGGGGAGCTGCAGCGTATGGGGCGCCGCGTTGGAGCGCGACGAAAATGGCAAAATCAAGGCGTGGGATGTGGTGAAGCCGACAGCGCATATATTCTACGGTACACGAATGCTTGAGGTAAACGATGGACTGGGGAAGTGGGAGGGCTATGAAGGAAAGTCAACTAAGGTTACTTGATATCGTAACATGACATGTACAGGAATCGCTCGCTCAGCTGACAAAGTACTAGCTAATGGCCATTGAAAGCTTCCATTCACGAAATCGGAGAAGAGTCTTCCTACCACCGCAAGTTCCTTTTGGTATGCCCATCAAATCTCACTTATTGACGCCTTCGCGGAATTCCGATCCTTCTGTAAACGCTCTGTAAACGTAGATTCTTCAACAAGAATACGTCGAGTTGGACATGCGAGGCTATCCTTCCGAGTGACCCAGAAGTGCGGAGCTGTGCACCGCCGGAGTATCGAGAACGCATCAGTGTCATGATCTGTCAGATCGCCGCCGTCTTGACATCGCCCCTCCCTGTGGGGAAATCTGGGTTCCATCTTTGGCCGAGTCAGGCACGACGGACGGATGCTTCTCGGTTTCTATCGAAGGCCTGGCTTCGAAATGAGTGACTGGAGGTACATAAGATGTCAGTTCGCACCTTGTTTCTCCCTATCCTCCTTTCATTCGCCCCCTCCTCCTCTCATTCTCCCCCTCCAGCAATATAGGCTGAACAATGCGTTTTCAATTCGCACGGCTTGCCGCACTCGCAACATATACTATCGCTCTCTTTCATACCCCTGCCGCATCCGCGCACCCCCGCCGCAACGCTCTCACTGCCAAATCTCATGCTGCGATCTCTCACCATATCGACGTTCCGCCGCCGACTCCAGGACACTTTGCGCTTCACCAGCGCCACGCGCCACGCGCATTGCTTGATGTATGCGCATACATCGACCTCGATGTCCTCGAGGACCTCGGAATTGACCTCGGCATCCCGCTAGGCGCAATCCTCGACCTCGATGTCTGTCTGTGTCTTTCGCTCTTCCCGCTTGTGTTAGAAACCGACGTTCAGCTTGCCGCTCTCATTCCTCTGCTGGGCATCAACAAGCTGACGGAAATCCTGACACTTGCCGTGAGTGCCCATTCTCCCGAGCGCATATATGCACATACCTAATGTTCTACCAGATCAATGAAGCCCCTGGATCGCAACATTGCACTTGTCCCGATAATTCCGAGCCTCATTGCACGAAGGATGACCCGTGCGGATGGCATTGCAAGCCACCCTACGTGAAGAAGGACGGCCAATGCGTCTGCCCGGCTCCCTACACGGAGTGCAATGGCAAATGCGGATCGTGGCCTCATGTGAGTACCGTCCTCATGAACGCAGGAGTGCTCACCGTTTTCCTCTTCGGTGTTGGGGATGTGGATCGTCCGTGCCACGTGCACTCGCTGCTGACCCGCATACCGCTGTCGCATCACTAGCAGATGCTCAACTTACCTGCAAGTCGTACGAGACGGTGAGCACTACATCCGCGCCTTCATATCACCAGTTGCATACAAGACTCAATGTGTTGCGTAGGTATGTGGTGTGTACGGCGGGTCTTCTCGAAGCTTCGAATGCCTCGACGTTGACACTGCACTCGAGAGTTGTATGTCTGTTCTGCTTATCACCTTACAACACAAGAACGCTGACGTACTTTCAGGTGGCGGCTGCATGATCCAGAACCCGTTCATTGGGAGCACCAATGGCTCGTCCTACGGAATCGATTGCACGACTATAGTTGGCGCTAACGACGTTGCGTGCGTTGGTGGAAAGTGCACCGTGACTAGCTGCGCAGACGGCTATCGTGTCAGCAATAATCGCGACGGATGTGAAGCTGTTGAGGTCGCCACAGATAACTCAGATGATGTCGATGATATAGGATCGTTTCCTGCGCGGATGCTCAAGAAGAGAGCTCCCGACTCTGAAGAACTAGACGATCTGATCTTGGACCTCCTTGCCGAGATCGTGGACTCGAAAAATCAAGGGAAGCATTAGTACTTTGCTTGAATTTCCCAAAGCGTTACCTCTTCTTGATACCCCTACGCGTGCCTGTATACCCCGCTTTCGTTCGATGTTGTCACTGTTTTGTAGTAGCGTTTGTCGCATAGTTTCTCTCTGTTTGCATTCGCGAAACAGTGTCGGAGTTGTCTCGTAGAACTGTAGCAGATACATGCAAAATGCCTGTTTAAAAATGCCACTTACAGTACCAGCGCTCGTCCAATCACAAACCCGGGGATCTGCGCTCGTCCAGAATGTTCGTAGCTATATATTTCCCTGGGGCATGCAGGCGATCTCAACAGCACTCGATGCGCAGCGGACGCTGGAAGAATTGGTTCATAGACGCGTCTGTCACAACGTTGACATAGCCACGTGATCGCGACATATCGCGTAATACCGCTTGACGACGGGCGGGCGCTCGCAGAGGTACAGTCCTCATCCATATGTGACGAGCAGAGAATCAGAGATGTTGTCGTGCCACTACTTAGCGTATTGAAACGTATTCAAACTCTGTGCTGTCGACGCCTTCATGAGTCATGCCATACTGGCCGGCGTGCCACCCTCCTGGGATATCCGGTTACATTTTCGGCTTCTTCATCCTCTTGAAACATGACACGACTGAGCTCACTGCCCTTCTCTCATGATGCTGCCTTACCTCTTCGATTTTGGACCGGCTGGCGTCTTATCCAATACCACCCTTTCCAGAGTACCCCGCCAATTCTACACGGCAATTGGGTCTTACATCCACTTCGAGTCTTATTGGCCCAACGTGCCCGACAAACGGGCCAAGGTGACCTCTCGACCTCTGAGAGCTACCCGTACGCCCGCGTGCACTTTCTGTTCTGTCGTCGCGTCCTGACGTACTCATCTGTGCATTAGGCTGTTGATAGCATCCCTGCATCGCACAGATTCCGCCCTCCGTGCGGCATGTCGTCTCGTCCAATCCACCCAATAGCGTTATCGCATCCTGAACCTTACCCGATCGCTTCTGCCTCAGGTCTACTTCCTCTCAATCCGGCAGGTAGCTCTGGCGCCTGCGTTGCACGCCCCCCACCCTCTCGTTCTCACGTGTTGGCTTCCCGTGGATGATGCGCCATGGATACGTCTCTGGCCAAGTCAAGCCCATCCTGTCAAATCATCGTCTCTGAGTCTATCGCCATTACATATGTTCGACGCTGCTAGCGCGGTTCTCTGCACTGCTCTCGCGTGTCTTCGTCTTATCCAAAGTCCTCATTCTCGGCCTCAGACAGCGGCACGCATGAAAGCTCAGATTTTGTTATGGACTCGGCTCCCGATCTCCCGCTACAAATGCTCAGTTTTCAGCCAGGTCTGCGTTCAGGTGCGGCGAATCGAGCAGAGTCCCCGTCTCCACTAACACTCCGTTACGTCCCGCGCTGTGCCTCCCCGCTGCACTCGCTCACGTGAAGGTCAAGCTAAAGCCGACTCTCAAAACTTGAGCGCCCTGTTCGAGGTGGCGGTAGGGTGCGGATACGGCGGGCCTGGGTACGAGACCGACGTCAACTCCACACACGGTCCCACATGACCCCACATGTGCCCCACACCCACCAATAGCACCCGTGCGAAGGTCTGGCGATCTCTCCTCTTCTGCTGCCGTGATCGTAGCCGTCGGCGTCATTTCACAAGTTCTCACCAGAATTCCCACGACCTAGGTGTTATCTCAAACGAATCATCGCCGCGGCATAGCACAGTATGACGGAGGTTCTGCGTCGCTCCTGCTTGTGTGGATCAGTATCCTACGAAGTGATCGGCAGCCTTACGCTCAGTGCACACTGCCACTGTACTCAGTGCCGCCGTCTCAGCGGTACGTAAGCTTCTTGAGCGTCCCGCTACGGCATTACTGAGGATCTGGTTGCTAATTCTATTAGGATCTCCTCTCGTGCATACTATCTACTGCGAAGCTTCAGCGCTTTTTGTACGCATCGCGAGACGAACGACGCTCACATAAAGGCGTACGTCAATCCTACGAAGCCCTGGCAGGTGCGCTACCGCTACAAAAACTGCGGCGCTTGTGTTGTCAATCAGACCAGGAGGACAGAACCCCAAGAGCATTATTACGCTATCTGGGGCGGGCAGCTTGAGACCGACGGGAAAGGCAGGATCAAGACGTGGGACGTGGTAAAGCCGACGGCACATATTTTTTATGGCACGCGGATGATCGACATGAAGGATGATGTGGGGAAGTGGGACGGGTTTGAGGATCAGTCTCCTCGCATCAGGTAAAACTGGACTAGCAGCGGCGCATACGGCTATGGTCGTAACTTACGGATCCGATCAATATATGTGTCGTATATACGCCTACTGGTACAGATTGAGAGGTCTGGAAGCCGCAGAGTACAATGACGCAATACGCCTGAAAAGCGAGTTCAGATCATAGCACGATCATATTGCTGCAGCATACTCAACACAACCTGGGTTACAAATTCCACGAAGGTTCTCGAGCAGGGAGGTCACACAGAACGATATGACTCAAGTATGAAGTTACTGTGTCATGTCGCACATTTTGAGCTCCTCGGTCTGGCAGCGGGTTCTTAGAAGCCTGGGGAGACGGTTTTACGTGAGCATTCGCCTGAGCGACGATCATTAATAAGACGGAATTGCTGACATGCGCGCAGAGTTGCTTGTGGATCGCTTGCATCAGCAAGCGGGGCGCACCGATGGCATAGGTGCATGAGAGCCATATGTACATTCGAGCCCTGCATTCCGTGTGCAGCGTTCACAAAAGGATTGGAGTCCTGTGAAGACTGCATTGAGTGAGGTTTGGTGAGCATACCAAAAGGGACATGCGGTTGTGGAGAACTCTCCGACTTTGTGAACCAAGTCAAGTATACGGGAGCTTGCAATAACCCTAGCACATATTACAAGTTTGGAGTCGCTTCCTGTAGGGCTGTACATGGCAGAGTACGTCATCAAGCCACCATATCCGACTTTCCTTCAAAGCCCTCCCACTTCCCCAGATCGTCATTCACTTCAACCATTCGTGTACCATAGAATATATGCGCTGTCGGCTTCACCACATCCCATGCCTTGACCTTGTCATCTTCATCGCGTTCCAATGTGGCGCCCCATACGCTGCAATTTCCTGTCTGCGAGTTCCGACTGGCAACACAGACGCCGCAGTTCTTGCAGCGGTACCGTGTCTTCCACGGCTTGGTCGGTATTACGAAGATGTCAAGGCGAATGTCGTGCGGCTCGCTATGCGTCCAAGCAAATGCGGAGCTCTCGAAGTGGATGGCATGTACAAAAGGGGACGCTGAGTGTATAGTATCGGCCGTCTGCAGTGTTCATCGAGCACTGCGTGCTCACCGAATTGACGCTGGCATTGTGTGCAATGGCAGAATGCGCTGAGTTTTGGAGCGCCGGATACCACATAGGTCACCGATTTGCAAAAACACGATCCTTGGAGACGTGTCGATATCACGAATTGTCACGAAGAGCGTTTTTTGCTAGCGAGGCCACCCGAGGGTCTCAATGTTGCAGTGGCGCCCGCCGATCTCTATCCGCAGCAAGCTTCGGACTTGCTATTTCGGGACTTGACGGAAGCAATCTGTGTCTTGAGTTCACACGCACAGCTATACCATATTTGGAGCATAACTCTAATCCGAACGCTGTACTGTGAAAGAAGTAACGGTCGATCAAGTGGATTGTGTATTCTAGCGATAGCGAGGCCATGGAACGCGAGGGATGTGCATGATAACGCAAGTGAGGCGAATGAATATGAGATAAGAGTGGACGAAAAAAAAGTGAACGAAATGAAAGTGGGCCCCCTCCCCCTCCTTTGGGCAAGAGAAACGCGGTGTTCGGCACGGAACATGGATGTAGGGATCCCAAGTGAGCAGCGATACCCACAGCCTATGAAAGCAGTGACGCATCCGCAAAGTCAAAATACACCGCTGTTAGGAGACGAACGACAGGGAGAATGTATAGTGCACCAGTTAGCCTACCGGCGTCATGGAGTAACGAACAAGGGCATCTCGAAGGTCCGGTACGGCTGGATCTGGTCACCGTTGGGGGTGGTTTCGTGTCAGGAGGGCTGACGCCAGGTGAAGAAGGTCGTGGCGACGTGAAAAGGGACACAGGCACAACATGATTGCGGGGTCAGGAGGGTAAGTGGGACGAACCACGAAGGTGGGATGTAGGGAACACAGGAGAAAGAAACAATCGTATAGCATAGCATGGCAGGGAGCGACAGGTGGAAAATGCACCCGACTTGATGCGCTCTTCTTGGGCGTTGCTCAGAATTCCCCTCAAGGTTTCGTCTAAGACGTCGTCCTTGATGTTGCTGATGTTGTCCTCGTCGCACGCGAGCTGCGGGTGCCGATGCCGGTGGATGCCGGCCTGAAAGACGATGAGGGAATCCTTGCCTCAAGGCTGCTTCGTGAAAGGGAGTCGAGAGCGTGTAGACGGATGCTATGAGCATGGCGACATGGGTCGCAAGCCAGTCCGCGACATCAATGGCGAGTTGAAAATCGCCGTTGTCGGTACAGTACTGGAACCGGGTCAATTTATCGTCGGAGAGCGAAATGCGTGGTGTGCTGCGAGCCGGCCAAAGTGCGAGGGTGTTGTTCACCCAGGCGCTGCCGCAGACCTCGTCTTCCGTGAGGCGTTCGTTGCCAGCAGAAGCGCAGTCCTCGAGGGTGAAATACCATAGTTCGACATATTCACCCTTCTCGAGCTTCTGGAGAGCATCGGCGGTTGGTCGCTGGTCGAGGTAGGAGGGCGCCTCATGGTCCATGTGTCCCTAAACGATCTAAGGGCATTTTCATTCACGCACGAGGCGAGCCTCCTCAGTGGCAGCATCGTCAGCTTACTGGCGAGCCGCAGCATTCCGTAGGATGCGTTCGCCGTCGGCAATGGGGTCAACCCCCAGCTGGGAGCCCATTGTGCCTTCTTGGAGTTGTTGTGAGTTGATCACATCAGGAAAAAAACCCCTGAGCTAATTAGAGCTATTTTATATATATTAGCAATATATTTGCATATAATTTTGAGCTATTGACCTACTCATGCTATTGTCACACTACAATGTACTAATGGCTACCTACACAGCCAGACATTCAGATAGACTCAGCTTCAAACCCGCGGCATACATCCTAATCTCAATCTATCTTGAGAATTATGTGTCTCGCTCCACCTGAGCGTCAGGCTAAATTTTGCATGATCATGTGATCTGCACGAATGCACTCGATTCAAAGGACTTACTATCAGATACGGGGTTTTGCAAACTCATGCATTGTTCCCTTCGCTCTGCTTGAACCACCATAAGGATCGTTGTTATTTCACTCAGGCATTGTTGTGAATACATGGAAGAGTACCCAGAACGAGGCTGGGGCCCATACATGAAGGACACCCAGTGGTAGCGAGATGCCGCATTCGAGGCCTCGCATTGCAGTAGTTCTGCAAATTCTATCACGCCGGGGTCACAGCGGCAACTTTGAACTCCGCTCGGCAAATGTTGCAGGACTGCAAAGTGCGCTGCCGCATCGTACCATGATCGAACGCGGAGTGTGAACATATCACGCTGACAGTGGCGAGTGTCACGCTTGCTCAACCAGAACAACCATCGCCCACCAGCCATGTCTTGCTGGGTGAATCGGGCTGGTGTACCAGAGAACACAAAGCTGTAATATAACGGATCGGATGTCTGATCATTAAGAAATACAATGATTGTCTCTGGATCTCGCTCACCACATGTTTGCAGAACACCTTAAGAACAGTCTGCAGGCCATCATTTCACTTCACCTTCGTTTCCTCTCAATCGCTCTTGCACATAGTGTATAATAAGTGCATACTAGCATCTACAATGATCAAATTATAATTTCCACGGTGTGTAGAGGAGATCACGCAGTTCTGCAAAATTGATGGGTTTTGCAAAACCCCGTATCTGATAGTAGCATCCCAGCGCGAAGCGAATCAAACAAGTACAAACAGGGGAGATCTGCGGCCAACGTCACATCGACAATAATTTTCGTTCCTGCATGTTCGTGTCCTGTTCGCGACAATCGTCGCCTGGGGGTCTTGTCCCAGCACCTCGCCCCTGTTTTAGCGAGAGCCTGTGCCATGTATCATATGTTCTTATTAACCTCTAAATACAGGTCCAGCACATATGACAGGCAAGCGTTATTGGAATGGCTGTTGGGGGCGAATCATGCGAGCCATCCCGGGGGCTTCAGGTGAGTGCCACCGCTGCTACACCTTGCGGGCTACATATTGGCAATAATCGTGTCCTTGCACAACCACGCCTTCGTCCATGCGCTCAACGCGGACGTCGTTGTCGACCACTACACAGCATTCAGATGGAGAGACTGACTGGGGCAAGCAACCCGAATCTTCACCTCCACCCCCGTATGAACAAGGTGAATGGGTACCACCAAAGGTGCGTATTGCTGAAGTAATGCTGCGACGCCTAAGCTCATATATCACCAGCCCAAACCCTCTTCTGTCCCTGCAACCCCTCCTGTCCAGGTCACGCCCCCTACTCCCCGCTCCCGCAAATCCCGCCACATTGCTGGTCGATGCACACAATCTCGTCACCGGAAGACACTTCGTGCCCCATGCACACTTCTACCTCTTCTGCCTCTGTCGGCTCTTCAGCCACATCATACATGCCTATTCCTCCGGAATTCAGTTGCAGTGCACCCGATGCTGACCCGGAGCTAGATACAGACAAAGGCGAAGACGACCAGGTACGCTGAGTCACTCAACAGTGTCTAGGTCACACATAGTGACCATCATGATAGATGTCTTGGATTGGCGACAAGCTCGCGTTGCTGATTGCAGAAGGCCAGCGCGCTCTAGGCAAAGAGGTCGTGGTCATGAGCGAGGCACCGGAAGATAAGGAAGGCAACGGCATGGACGACTGGGTCGAGGAGGATGGCGGTCGTGCACAGTCCTCGCATGGCGGCCTGCCACCCTACTCATCGCGGCACGGCTTGCCCCTCCTCAGCGCGTCTCCACGGTGCGATCGCTTTGACCTCAGCTCGTCCCATGCGACCTCATATGCACGGTCAATTCCTGGCTCTCCCCACTGTCGCGGCCGCGAGGTGTCCATCGAGTCCGATCGTTTCGCGAGCATGTCCTTCCAAGAGGACGAGTCGGCGTGGCAGACACCCGAGCTATGGGAGGCGATGGAACGCGCACGCCAGCGGTAGCGGCGTGAGCACGTGTGAAGTCCCAGACTTTGGCAGCCTCACAGCGGTATTCCTTGCTGCCCACGTCTCCATCTGAGAATGAAGCCAAGACTTGTTCTTCTCAAGCTACTGTACCAGATGTGCCAATCATACCTCGAACTGCGTTAAGACTGTTCTACGCCCTCCATACTCATTATCTGCTTGGCCGTTACCAGCGCGACCATCGCTGTCAGAAATGCGCAGCGATACGCAGAGATCGCCAATCCGCATGACATTCCGCGCCCTGATCCATACGTGGGACTCAAATCCATCTCTTGAAGCAATAGGTAAGCTTTGATCTAGTTTTTCCGAAGGCCACCGCGAACCGTACCCGTGGACAGGGCTGAGCCTCAAATGGTCTATTGGAGGTTAACGAGCACGCTAAAACGTAGAATAGTACGTGCTTTTGCGCTCCGTCTGACCCCGAGATCGGCTCATGGACCCCCAATAGTACAGCTCAGAGAGTGTTGCGGGTACGTCAAGACGAGCAATCACCTTCCTGATAATTCACCTGGTCTCCATCATCCTGATACGACCGTTGTTTTGTTCTCAGTCAAGTTACAGTACCTTATACTCACGCATGTATGTACCCTTTTTTGTCGATTATTCCCGTTTCATTATGTACTGCACTACGGCTACACACGTAGAAATCCATCGGATGATCGGTTCTGTGTAAAGGAGCCCTCAGCCTTCCTTTTCATGACTGCTTATCCCTTCAAGAGATCACAGACGTAGTTGTGCAGGCTACGCAATCGCTGCTGTATGTCCTGCCTTGTAATAAACCATCGCATCTCGAGTTCGGGATGGAGCGTGCGAAGGCCCTTGCCGATTATCTTCGCCGAAATTTGCTTGTCTATTTGTACACGAGCCGACTGATACTACTCACGGCAACGGCATGCGCTCGTTGAGCAGTAAAGCAATAGTTTAAAAAAATCTCCAAGGACACGTTTCGGAGGTCAAGGCAAATCAAAACACTCATGCATCCGGTCGGGCCCCCTCGAATTGACACTGACCAGTGACTGGAGACTGAGTATAGCATATACCGAGGTGGGTAAGTTGTCATATGATATGCCAATCCTATCAGCCCCACGCCAATAGAGAGCTACAATCACGACAGACAACGTAAGGGGGTTGATTGTCCTTTTACACGCTAAAACTCTGACATCCGCTGGAGGGCGTTGTCCTATGCCAAATAACACATGCGTGCGCTTGTCGTAGCTAACCTGTGAACGAATGTGAGCTGTCCGGCAGCATGGAGAAGTGATGCGCGAGCGCACTGTCATGATCGATACCACCAGGTCGCGCACTCAGTGGACGAAACACGCGAGTTTCAAAACCGAAAGTGGATTCTAGTGTAGAGAGAACCGATAAAACCCAAGTTTCCTCTCACCTGCTGACAACACAATGCACTGCTGATACCAGGAGCCGTCCTGTGGCACAAGCTATTGACGAACTATAACGCTCAAGGAGGATACTACTCGAGAGAGATGTGTTGCGGCGGACTTGTACGAAGGCTTGTCTCAGGTTGTGTCCATAAATAGCAGTCAGCTCCCACGCCACACTGCCTGATACATTATAAGTTGCAGCTTCAGAATCGAAGTACAGGGATAGCCGAGAGCAAGATTCTTCGTAGGCGTCGTAGGCGTGTGAGATGTGCCATGGCTGTGACAATGCAGTATATTGAGGGAAGAATTCCGCATAAAGAGACCGAGCCACCACTGATCTTCCCGTCAGCCGGACGGCATTCGAGTGCTTGGACCTGAGGCTGGGCCTCCTATCTGTATGGACGGCACAGCATAAAAACACGAGGCCAAGGCATGTGATGGTCATAGCTCCAGTACAACGACCCAAGAAGCCAGTTATAGCTGTCGTTGTTTTCGCGTCGTCGTGACAATTTGGTGACAATAACGGCCTTGCGGCCTGGAGACGCGCACATCCCGTCCTGATCGTCGACTTCAATGAATCTCACAAGCTCCGACCTAGTGAGAAGAAGCACACACACCACTGATGCAGGCTGCGTATGGCGTCCAGAGCGATATGACCTGTTCTGATGGCAGGTCCTTCTCCGAGAATACGTTCCGCGGGCGCTAATAGACAATCGCTGCATATAAAGACGTGGAGGCGACGCTCCGAACACTGCATCGTACCCACGCATAACATCAGCTTCCACGTACTCAACGTTATGTCTCCTGCTTACCTGTATCCACTCGAAACGACACTGAGCCAGTCCGGGTATGACCCGGACACGTTAAACACCGGTCTGCCGCCACGGGAGTCGTCTTCAGCAGTCTCGTCAGGTCAAACAGCCGTCAACGCCGATGATACCTTCGACTTCTCATTGTATGAGCCCTATGGACCTACTGTCGACATATCTGGAGAGGTATGTCTGCTCATAACCAGGATAAAAACCTCCGCTAACCTGTGCAGGAGATCCTCGACGTCAATGATACCCTCGACTTCTTATCGTATGAGCCCTACGGACCCACCTTCGGCATGTTTCGAGAGGTATGTTCACTCATAGCCACGACGAGAAACTCTGCTAACCCTTTTGCACAGCACACCAGTGTCAGTACTGACCCATCATTCATACTCCCCGACCATCCTGTAATGCACTTCGACAACGGACTACTCGAAGCCATAACTGCGACCTCATACTTCTCCGAACGCCACGCAGAAGCGACATCGCCACCAATGGCCCCTCCTGCCATAACATTCTCCACCTGGTCTCCCTCGTCATCATCAGCAGCGCGCACACCAGGAGACGACTTCGACGACAATGCCAGCGCAGCATGGTCGCCGCCCTACCAGGACAGCACATTCGGCACGCATGTATGGCATCAAGAGACCCCATTCCTGCCATTCACAGAGACCGCTCGGTACGTCTCTGAGCTGGATATAGGCTACGGCAACGGCATATACCTCGCCAGCACACCGGTATTATACCCGCCCTTGCATTCATCGCCCTTTGCCAGCACCTCCGCACTATCGACATCGTTCTTGGTACCAGTCATGGCACCCCCTGCTGCAACTGCCAATCGCGACGTCGGATTCATGCCACCCAATCACGGCACAGCTACAGGTTTGGCATCAGCACCATGCGCGAGTATGCAACGCGTACCCCGCATAAGCGAATCCGGTCCACCTATGGTGGAGCGGACAAACGTTTACACAGAATATGGACATTGCAACTCGGACAACAGCACTATGCTTGTTCCCGACATGTCCAACAACAATATTGGATTCTTCCCCGACCAGGACGCCACCACACCATCTGAGACTTCTGCAGGTCCTTCGCACATGAGCTCTCGTGTGAGGACAGAGGCCCGATGCGGCGGCAAGCAGTCTATGCATCCTCAAGCCTTGGTCGAGCTCCCGAAGACTCCTGGGTTGCCCCGCACGGCCGGAAAGCGCAAGCAGCGCGACGACGACCTCACGGACGACCCCACGGACGATACATCCTCCCGCCATCCTTCAAAGAAGGCGAAAAAGGCCACCAGCCACGCTGAATCTGCACATACCAGCTACGAGGACGTGCCACAACCGGCGTGGTATGGCGGATGTATCCCGCCCGATCCCAAAAAGCCACATCCGTGCCCATACTGCACAGATAAGTGGTTCAGCTGCTCATACGATGTCACACGCCATCGCGAGAGCGTGAAGAGCTGTCTCGGATACTTAGAAAAGGGGGAGATCCCCTGCGATCTCTGTCCTTCCATCTACACACGTCGAGACGCATTGCGACGTCATCAGAAGGAGATACACCGAAATGGCTACAAGACGATGGCAGCAACCCGACAGTCATGAGCGAACAAAGCACACTAGACGCACCACTCGAGGGCCGACACCGTTTCACGACATGCATACCATCCTCACGGCTTCAATCTTGTCTTCCTTCGATGCTTGGTTGGGGTCCGTCATTCCTCTTGGTTCCCTCTTTGTCATTGTCGTCCATCCTGTTTATGTCTGAGTCCATCATTCACGCACACCTCGATATACCCACTTTACCTCTGATATACCCCCGATGGCGTTGCATATCCATTATCAGAAAGCAGTCCCTACGCCTGTTATATACCCTGCCATCGAATATAAGTGAGATGAATTTGAACCTGAAGAATGGGCATGAATAATGTGAAAAGGCGATTGCAAGAGGTCTGATAGCACTGCACAAGAATGTGTTCGAAGATTATGCCCGGCAGCATGTAGGTGCACATAGCATATATTGCTACTTATTCGTAGCCGTCACGCACGCACGCCTTGAGAGACGCAGTGTGCTCGCCAAAGTTTCCCATCCTGCTAGAATTAACAAGAACGCAGCACGGCACAAGGTGTTCAAAATACGGATAGAGGCGGGAGGACACGAGCGGCGCCAGTGACGTGGGCTAGCGATAGGCCATAGCGCGATCGATCGTACAATTATGTTGGGTATGATCGGGCATGACTACATCACCGCGACAGTGGGTATCCACGAACCTGAGAATTTATGCTTGCGCACGACATGCGGTTTCGCGCATGTAGCGCGTACCAGCAAGGATGTTTTCTGGACGAACCTATAGATCAGCCAATTGATACTATAGCGAATATCATCTCGTGATGAACAGTCCATACAGACAAAGGCCTACCTGATATGGAGCGGATGTCTATTATTGATAGATATGGTCGAAAGACAAGCCAGTGCCAAGGAGGATAATGCGCGAGACGTTTGTGAGGTTTCAGAGTAAAGAGCCCCGCGATTGGTTGAATGTAGAAAGATATGCTCCGCTTACGAGCATGTGGATTTGATAGTCGTGTCGGTTTTAGCGTCAGAGGTACGGAAAGAGAAAGAGAACCCAACGATGAAGGACGGAAGGAGGACGAGATGCAAAGTTCGCCCATCCGAAAAAAGTCGATCAAATACATATCCGATCATCCACGTGGGATGTCGGCATTCTCCCGCCGCCCCACCAGTTCTCAATCCAACTGCATTCAAATTCGTTACGACCATTTAGAGAACTGTGGTTCTGAACACAGCATTCTATAATTCCCGGTGTGCGCCGCAATCCCGCTTCTTTGACGGGACACTCCGTGTTGACTTTTGGGTACGTCGGGCAAGCGTCGCTGCTGGCCCGGGTCACGTGGTCGCGCGCCGGTGTGGGATTGATCCCTGCAGCTGTCCATCGAGGACGTTGTCTGCCGGCGATCTTTCCGGCGTCGTTCTCACACTCCGTATTCGCGTCTACGTATTACAGTGACTTTGTGGCCGTTCCCTGTGTACAAGTCACGCTGGGGGAAAATCCCAGTCAAGCCTTCGTAATCTTCCCAAAGCTGGTTCGACATCTCAATCATGGCTCAGGGCCCGCCTACATGCCATCGGCAATTGCTAGTATAACTTGACGCTGCACACTTGGCCTGTGAAGTCAGTAAGTGACCCTATCCGTCTATAGTGCGCTTCCTGTGCTCGGGTCACGTCCGCGACAGGTCTTTACGTGCCGTCGCAGAGCGACTCTTAAAGGTACGCGTGTGCTCCACGAGATTGGCAGATCTTAAAATATGTCATTTCCTGTATTGAGCGACCTATCGCGTCTCGGCGCCTCGTCTCGCATTGTACTCCTAAACACCCAGACTCTATGACCTGTCCGGAATATAGCATCGAGATAGACGGGAACGACACCTTCACACGCTGCTGTTGACCGCTCTTGCGGTGTTAGCACTACAGTGTATCTCCCTCGTAGTCACCTTATCCCTACGGTACGCATGATCAATATCTAGGTTAAGATGCAGTACGTTACTGTAGTGCGTTCAAAGACACATTCGAAACTCACCATCCACCCAAGACGGCGAGGTATAATCCACATGATCCAGAGCATCTTCAATGGTCCGACTCATCGGCATCGTGAGCTGTTCCAGATATGGTTCAGTCTGGGCGTCATACCGCGTTATCCGCCACCATTTGCGTGGGGCCTGCGGCGTGGAAGTAGCGGGCTCGACAGAGATGTAACGGAGGGATGTGATACTCATCGCGAGGATAGGGCAAAAGCCTAGCGCATCCTGTCCGCATTGAGGCACGTCACGGCCAGGAAGATCCAGCAGTATACACAGCGCGTGAACTGGTAGGGTACTGAGGACAGCTGGAATCTTGCTCTGGAGTACATTACACTTTGAATTAGATGACCACCATGTCACATCGTGGGATCGCACGTACCTTCCAAGCCGACAATGCCCTGGCCCAATCCTCTTTTGGCAGCAAACCACAAAACTCCATCGTAAGGTAACGCAAGTGCGTGCAAGCCTTCGCGAGATGCGAGACCATATTGGGGGGGAGGTCTATGGGCAACCTGATACGAAGTACGGTTGTTCTACAGGCTTGGACACAGGAAACCGCGTTATGGAGCCATAGAGCTTGTGAGCTCGGTAGTACCATCTTGCGTACAGGACAGGTGATACGCAGCATAGGCAAGGCCGCAGCGCTGATATCGAGGAAATCCAAGCTCTGCCAGGTAGCCGAGTCTATCAGGTCCTCGCGCTGTTGTATCTCATTCATATACTTGTTGTTCGACAGTGTAAGCGACCGCAGCTGGGGGAAGGCTCTGGATAGGATTGGTCGAAGAGATTGTGCAACAGGAGCCATAACAATGGCGTAACTGATTGTGAGGTTTTGCATCAGCGGCCAGTGCATGCCGTCCTCGTTGTCGTTAACTTTGCCTCCCAACAAGTGTAATTTCTCCAAGGAGTCGCGGAAGTTAGCCAGGAGCGCCCATATAGAAAAGGGTGCCTCCCTGAAAAAAGGAATTGTTCTAAGCGTGACGCTTCGGAGCGGAGTTCGGAAAAATGTCATGAAGGAGTAGGTGTGCATTCCTAAGGTGATTTTGAGCGATTGTAGCCTGGGAAGCGCTTGGACTGCATCTCCTACGCGGGCATCGAGGGAGAGCAGTTGTTCGAGGGAGTCGAAGTCGAGGCATCGGAGGTTTTTTGCACTGCGTAGAAGATCGATGATGGAGGGAAGTATCTCTTTTACACTGTCCATTGTATTGAACAGACCACCGATGATCGCGAGGCAGAGGTCTTGCAAAAAGAGTGTACAAGTGTACTCTCGAGCAGACGCGAACATACAGAAGCTGCGAATCGTTACCACAGACCTCCATGACGGATATCCCACTCTTGAAATCATTCGCGGTAGAGCCAAGTCATAGAGCAGATGGCATGCTAGTGCGCACATCGCGGCCTCGTTAGACGACAAATATGAGAAGATGAGGTAAAGGACATCGTTGTTAAGGCGAAGCAGCGTCATTAGCCTTCGACAAGTGCTGGGCGAGACAGAAATATGAGATAAAGCAGTAATTTGGGATAATAGGATCTTACTGGTGTCAGTGACCCGGCCTTGAGCACACTGTGTATCTTCAGAGAATGGGACATCTCTGGTCGTGCAATCATGTATCACGTGCCGCAACATGTCACCGCCACGTCTGCGTGACCCCTACGCGGGGACAATCTTTTGAAGCCTGTTCGGTCTCCTCCGTGCCAACACAGTCCACTCAACTTGTGCTCACGCTGTGAAAAAATGAAAAATGGAGACGACTCCTTGTGAGAGTACTTCACATGGGTGGATCGGATGTGATTGGGACGGATCTCTCCGTGCACCATCGTGTGTTCGTGCCCTCAAACATTCTCCTTGACAGCGTGCGCGCATCGTTAAAGCTTGAAGCTTGCGTATGCATTGCAAGTGATAGCAGATGTACTCATGGATACATATTGTGCAAGCATTGAATGCAACGCCATGATTCGCGGGAGACTCAAGCGACGGTATGAGAGCAGTACGTTGGAAGTATAGTTCCTGACTTAGGACCTCCTCGACTCAGAAGAGCAGTACATTATTCCAATCAAAATCACATGCCGGTCTGGGTGCTGCATTCTGGCTGCGACGTGCAGCAAACGCACATCGCTGTTCGCGTTATTTATACAAGTTGATTTGGCAGCAATGTCTTACCCGCACCATCCGACCCAGTTTAACGGCAACACCCAATTGGCTGTGTATGATTGCAGCTTATATGTCGAAGAGAAGAGAGAGGCGGAAAAGGTTGAGGACTGCGAATTATAGTAAGGTGCAGTATTCTATTCTTTTAGTCCCCATCCTCGCAAAGGCATTATTTCTCTTCATATTGATGCAGAGTCTCTGTATTGTATGATCATGTGCATACACCCTTGAGGCGATTCCTCCCCAAGGACCCGCGCTCGTGCATCGAAGGCGATACGTAGCTCTGCAGGATGGCGTCAGCTGGAGGGTTACATGACGAACACCAATTGACGGTGAGAACGTACAGGGTGGGTAGAACACGGGCTAGTCAACCGTCGGGATGGGAAAAGACATGGAACAGCCGCAGCGGGAATTGGGTGAACATAGTTCCTGATGACGCCTAGGTCGAGGCTGCTGGTTACGGGCCATAGTGTAGCAAGTCAAGCCTTATCGGGCTGCTCGTCGGCCGAGCGATATCATTGTGGCTTTGTGGTGCGTCGAGCCTTGTCATGTCCGTTTCTTTTTCGCCGCCACCCGCTGTGTGCCGTATTCGTCGTTCTCATCTCGTTTTCATCTCGTACTATCTGTCGAGGAAGGCTTCTCCTCGGAGGGCGTGGTTCCCCTGACATATTAATCAGCGACGGAACTCTTCTAGGGAAATCTGTAATACCAGAGGACACGTCGACTCACGCTTCAGCACCCATGGATCTATTTGATGCCTGGAGCACGAACTGCTCCGTCTTAGCCTTGCTTCTAGGCTTTGACCCTGATTGTGTGGCTATTGTCAGTTCATTCTGCCCTGATATATTGCGCTACACTCGACAGGGCAGGAGCGATGCTTTCCTTCTTGAGCGGTCGCTTGCTGCGTCGAGTGCCCTCCTGTCTGGCCACAACTTTGCGCCGAGCTGGTCGGCTGGGACCCTGACAACAGTGATAGAAGCGTCCGCCGCTTAAGCGGCATGTGGTGCTGCAAGCCTTAGGGTGCGTGTATTTGTGCCACTCGATGGCAGCCGCTGCGCCATCATCATGAGGCCCTGAACAGCAAGCTGCTCATCCAGGTTCTGCTTCCCGTCGTGAGCTTCTAAGCATCTCGAGCGATACTCGCATCACGTACCAGGCCCGCTATGTGTTCTGTGGCTGCTTCTCGTGGCGATCCCGGCAAATTCGGGGCGATGGACGCCACAGATGCAGATTGGGTGAGTCTAGTAGTCATTGTGACAATGTTATTGATGCGTTGTTACGTTTTGGGTAATGTAGATGTTTGGTAGAGGCTGAGAAATGCGCTCTGCAGTGTGGTGGTCGAGTATGAGGAGTTAGTGGCTGAGATACCGACGTGGCGAATGGCCTCATACTGCGCGCGCGCAAGTTATGGGGTTGCGATTGTCCGTGGCTACGGATCCTTTGTGCCGTCTGCATTGTATCGAATCTTGGACGTTATCATTATCCCTTGTTCTACGTCTGTCTCAGTGGAAAAATACCATCTATGCTGGCCGTCTCCCCACTCGATCGGCTAGACGCATTTGCGAGCAAGTATTCTGCATATCCTGCTAAGGGCAGGGAATGCTCGAGCGGCAGCTTCACATTGTTGACCACGCCTTGATTTGTACATTGTAGTGGTATGGTTTAAACAACCAGATTCGAACTGGAGCGACCACAATGGAGCAAATGACTTGGTGGAAGCACTGAGATCTTGTAGACAGATGCATGAGCAATCCAGCGTCACTCCTTGCTCGCGTCCTCAAACCATCCCAGCAGCTCCGCGCGTTCCACATCACCAATACAAGGATTATTTGGGTTCTTCAGATGGCGCTCCAACGCGTCCTTCCGACTGAACACCTTCGCGCAACCACCGGTCATCCGTCGATCTGAGCTCAACCCGAACGCCATCTCGACCGGGATTCCACAGCACCTCCACTTCTCCTGCTTTCTGTGGGTCTTCTTGTGCCTCCTCATCGCGCCTTTCGTCAGCACCTTCCCGCACCCTTCGACCGTGCACTGGACCAATTTAGGCACATGCGTAGCCCGTGGTTCTGGTATGGCGGCGCCGAGTCCAATTTGGACGTTGCGTCTGCGGACGCGAATGGGCGAGCGCCGTGCCTTGGATCTGCGCGTCTGAGAAGTCGATGGCGAGGACACGGAGATGAGACTGGATGATGACGGGCGAGAGGGATGGTAAGGGACACTGCGGTTCTTGCGAGTTGTGGTGGCCGAGGGTCGATCTCTTGGAAACAGAGAGCACGTAAATTCTTTGTCGCTCGCGCCATTGTCGCTGCCCACCGAGGACGTGGCCGCGTATGGGGAAGGGGAAGGCGTGTACACAGACAGAGTGGCGTCTGAGCACGTCGAGACATTCGACAGTGTGCCGGGAGAGCTGGCAGCGTGAGCGGGGTCGACCAGTGCCGATGCTATTTCGTACGTTCTCGGATGGGCTATGACGTAGAAGGGGTGTATAGCTGTGCCAGGGTACTGCATGGTATATATGCCCATACTAGACGAGGCGCGAGGGCGGTTGGCAGCGATTGAATCAGGAAGGGAGAGCGAGCGAGTGCTTCGAGGTCGAAGAGGTTCCATGGCATCGGTGCGTAGAGTTACGAGTTGAAGAGAAGAGTAGAAAAGTGTTATAATTCTAATCTCCGAACGCAGCCGCCTTTTATATCTCAGCAAGCTCTGGCCACGATAGTCTATCGTAGAAGCGTCGCATTGTCTCCATATTGCCACAAGGAGAACAAAAGGCGATCGGGCCACAGCGAGCGATTCGATCAGGTGGCGCACTTTGAGAGGAAAATCAGTGGCTGAAAGTGGCTAAAATATGTGCCCCCAGAGACGTAGCAGGTGCTCACCGTAAGCTTCGTTCTTTGTTGTCGCTTCACGGGACCGTTCGCTGTAGTCTTCGATGATGAGAGCCCAATGGAGGATGTATTCACTATCCGTAGTGGAGGAGCAATTAGAGTGAATCATCAGTATGCGATTTGTAAACGACCGTCAAGTTGCACACTGCACGCCCCTTGATAGCGGAGGGGAAAAACCCAGGATGGATGGCGCCTGGCGCGTAGATAGCGTGATGCCGCATACTGACTTGCAATTGCAATGACGGTAGCGTTAATACTTGCGAAAGCAACCAATTGATATATGAACGTGGTATTGGCTGCTGCATGCTAAAATATAGAGGAAGGTTAAGGCTATGTTTGGAGACACAGATATTGAACGAAGAGAGCACCGCAAGCTGTGAATTCTCATGAAGCGGTGAGTTGTGACGAGGAATACAACAGACTTACTGGTAGGTAAGATCGATGTTCACTTACGCTCTCTCCCCACCCTCACCCGGCTCACTCATACGCACCACGCACTGCATGGAGCTCTAAAAGACAGATCGCTCGCGATACATTACTCTATACACCCTAATAGCCCATGAAATTCTACAAAATACGTCGAACAGACAGCAGACGAAGAGGAAACCGGGTAGTTGATCAACATCAACCATCCAGGTCATGCCTTGAGCTCTCCTTCCAAGTTCAATTTCAACGGTTGTTGGCATGGCCTCAAAAAGCTCCGGGCCAGCTCTAAAAATCCAGGAGCCTACCGTGCAAGCCCCAGGAACATGTCGCAGAATTACTCCGGAGCGCGCAGTAAGTCTGTGAGTGAGTTTCGGACATTTGTTATGCCAGGAGGGCCATCGACGTGGTCTAGGCCGCTATTTGTCATTGAGACCCACAGTGCAGTCACTTAAATACGCCCAAGGAGCGTCACTGTATCCTACGCCGTAATGGCTCAAAGATAGAAGACTCCATCGCGGAACACCATGCGGATACTGCAGAGCACGAAGGACACAGACAGTGCACAAAAGTACGTGATGGGAATCTTATTCGGCGTCGGATGACGTAGTCTCTGGGGATGCGACGCCAACGAACTGGTTCCCGACGTCTTTGCCTGAGCCAGCACAGCAGCGGGGCCTGGACATGCTCGACTCACCGAGCAGAGCTTCCAGTATGAGAGACAATCCAGCAGCGAAAGCTAGGACACTGTCCCCCAATAAGATGAAAAGACATGAGTGCACCCGTGGGCGAGATATCTCCCGGAGCTTGCTTTGCCCTCCGTAGACAAGAGGTAGTGGAACATGTCATATCTGGTTCAGGCATTCAGCGACAGTGATTGCGATGTATCACGTACCTGCGATGCCATCTCACACTGCGGATCCTAACATCGGCGTCTGTTCTTTTCATTCAATGCGATAAAATGTTACTAGTCGCCTGGATTCATGGTTTTTGAAAATGTCCAATAGAGATGAACAACCTTCCATCAGTGAGCGCGGTGAGGGCGATGATTGGTGCGTCGACGCAGCGAGGTTCGAACAGGTTGACTGAGATCCACATACTCGTCATGAAAATACCACTTGAAATGTACTTCGTTGAAAGCTAGTGTTCTATCCATGCGGAAAGAAGAGGGCGAAGTCCTCGCTGAAGTTGGCTGTGCTCTCAGAGGCCATCCGGAGACAGCCGAGTGGTACTGACGCGATCGAGACGAATTTCTATAAGCGCCCGCGTATATTCCCCGCTTCACAGTGCGCACCCACATTTGAAGCTTGGTCTGGCAGCATAGGCACTATAAGCCTGAGTAATACCACAGGCACTCAGAGGTATATACTGCTCAGGCATTATGCCTGGCGGGAGGCTAGAGTCTCAAGTGACGGTATGAGGCCAGTACATCGAACGTACTGCTAAAGAGACGAGACACAGAAAATGTCGAAGACTGCGCATCATAGCAAGGTGCGCTACTCCACTCCTTCTGTCTCTATCGTTGTTGTCGCTTTGGGACGAAAGGCATCCTTTCCCTCCATATTTGTACAGTCTCTGCGATGTATGGTCGTAGACATGCACCCCTGAGACGGTTATCTCTCCAAGCCCCTGTGTTTGCGTGTCGAAGACGATGCATAGCTCGGCAAGATGGCGTAAGTGTGAGGGTTGCATGAGGAACACCAAGTGACGGTGCAAACATACGAGCTGCTTAGATGACGGGCTAATCGCCCAACGAGAGGGGATACGACTAGGTCGAGATGGGCCACAGTGTTGCACGTCAGGCCTTGTCGGGCTGCTCGTTGGCTGAGCGATGTCATTGCGGCTTTTTTGGCGTATCGAGCCGCGTCACGTCCGTTCCACCTTCGCTGGCCCTCGCTGTATTAGATTTTCCTCGTTCTCATCCCGTTTTCTCTTCGTCTTCTCTGTGGGGATAGGTTTCTCCTCGGATGCAGTGGGTTGCCTGACAAATTAACGCTGATCAACGATAGGGCTCTTCGAGCAGAAGAGGACACTCACCACTCACCGCCTACGGACCCATTCGATGGCTGCAGCACAGACTGCCCCATCTCAGCCTTACTGTCAGACTTTGACCCTGATGCTGTGGTTAGCATCAGTCCATTGCGTGATGCTATACTGCGCTAAAGGTACGTGTAGATTGTTAGGCATCTGCATCTGCACGACGAATGTGAAGATGGTGATGCCAATTTGGCTGGCTATCTGAAGCCACTTGTACCGTCTTCTCTCTGTCGTTCATTAGACGGGACAGGGGCAACCTTTTCTTTCTCGAGCAATCGTTGGCTGCGCCGAGTGCCCTCCTGTCTTGGCGTGATTTTGCGCCCAGCTGGTCGGCTGGGTATCTTCACAATTGTGGACAAAACGTCCACCGTTATAGTGTCATTTAGTGCTGCAAGCCTTGAGTTGCCTGCCATTGTGCCACTCGATGGCAGTCGGCGCGCCACTCCCTGCATCGCAACCAGGATTTGAGCAGCAAGCTGCTCATCCACATTCTGTCTCGTATATCAGCCTCATAGGCATCTCGAGATTACTCGCATCACATACTAAGCCTGCTAAAAGCTCTATAGCTGCCGTCAGTCACGGCGTGTTGGACACGTTTGGTAGCCATTGTGAAGACTGTTGATGAGTTGTGGCGGTGTGGGTAAGGTGGATGTTTGGTAGAAATTGGAGAATGTACTCCGCAGTGCGGTGGTCCAGTATGAGGAGTTCGTGGCTGAGATGCTGCAGCGGGCAACGGTCTTATACAGCGCACACGTAAGTCACGGCTGCGACTATCCGTGGCTACGAATCCTTTGTGCCGTATGCTTTGTATCGAATCTTGGACGTTATCATTATCCCCTTGTTCTACGTCTGTCTCAGTGGCGAAATACCATGTATGCTGGCCGTCTCCCCACTCGATCGGTCAGACGCATTCGCGAGCAAGCATTCTGCATATCCTGCTAAGAGCGGGGAATATTCAAGCGGCAGCTTCACATTGTTGACCACGCTTAGGCGTGTACATTGTGATACTATTGTTATAACAACAAATTTCGTGAACTGGAACGACCAGAATATAAATGCTTATGAAATGGTGGAAGCACCGAGATCTGGTAGGCAGATGCACGAGCAATTCAGCGTCAATCCTCACTCGCGTCCCGAAACCATCCCAACAGCTCCGCGCGTTCCACATCACCAATACAAGGATTATTTGGGTTCTTCAGATGGCGCTCCAACGCGTCCTTCCGACTGAACACCTTCGCGCAACCACCGGTCATCCGTCGATCTGAGCTCAACCCGAACGCCATCTCGACCGGGATTCCACAGCACCTCCATTTCTCCTGCTTTCTGTGGGTCTTCTTGTGCCTCCTCATCGCGCCCTTCGTCAGCACCTTCCCGCACCCTTCGACCGTGCACTGGACCAATTTAGGCACATGCGTAGCCCGTGGTTCTGGTACGGCGGCGCCGAGTCCAATTTGGACGTTGCGTCTGCGGACGCGAATGGGCGAGCGCCGTGCCTTGGATCTGCGCGTCTGCGAAGTCGATGGCGAGGACGTTGAGGTGAGACTAGATGATGACGGGCGAGAGAGATGGTAATAGACACTGCGGTTCTTGCGAGACGTGCTAGCCGACGATGGATCTCTTGTAGACAGAGAGCACGTAGCTTCGTCGTCGCTACACCAAGAGGACGTGGTCGCGTACGGGGATGGGGAAGGCGTGTACCCGGATAGAGTGGCATCTGAGCACGTCGAGACACTCGACAGCGTGCCGGGAGAGTTAGCAGCGTGAGCGGAATTATCCAGCGCCGATGCGATCTCGTAGCTCCTCGGATGAGCTATGAGCGTTGGGTCGATGGGAGGGCTGAGCAGGCATTCTGCTGCAGCCATGGCGTGTTCCGACGCGTGTTTCGACGCGAAGAGCATCCCATCGTACCCGCTACAAGGTACACTGCTGACGACGGTAGGTTGGTGAGAAAACGAAACTTGATAGATGAACTGCTCACGAGTCGATGTCTGAATACCAGTATGTGTACATGTCGGAGGAGGAGCGCATGACATCAGTGTACGAGCTCGCGCCCGTCCATGAAGTAGAGAAGCTACCGACAGATTGTTCGGCCTGTGAGGGTGAAGCTGAATCTAAGCGCATAGCCTGTCCGAATAAAAGCGTGACGCCAGACGCATCAATAGGACCGTCGAGAGGATATGTAGTGAAGGAGGTAGTAGGATTGTATGACATCTCAGCGAGGGGCTAGTGGCGTGTCGCGGAAGAGACAAGACCAGAGTGCTGGGGGCATACCCGAGGGGTGCCCAGCCATGTCTTATATCCTGATGGTGCCCCGACATTGTGCAGCAGGGCAGTATGCTCGCCGCCTCTCGCCGCTGTTCTTGCGTCCTAATTGGGAGCCTGGGATGGGAACGTTTCGGTATAAGAACATCGTGGCAGGTGAAGTGGTGGGCAATTTGAAAATGGGCACGTGGCAGCGCCTGCCGTGCCGTGCTCCGCCCGGTAGTCTTTGAGCGCTCGTTTGTTCGTAACCTTATGGAACTCATCAACATTTCCTAGCTTTTGGTGACCCGGTATGCTGTCTACATCCTCCAGGCGTCTTTGCGCCTGTGACGGTGAGTATCTGCCTCAAGTAGGAAAGTAAGAGAGTGTCCTGCCGTCCATTAAGGGCGTCCGGAAGTAACGCGTTTAGAAGTTGAGTATGGTCCTAACCAGGCAGAAATTTTGATCGAGCTCGAGGTGAAACATGGAATGGTGTATAAGGCCACACGGTCTTCAAATACAAAGGTGTGGGTCTCTCCGTTATCATACCCCTGTCTGTGCGGAGACTGCATGTCGAGGCAGCCATCGCCTTCCACCCACCGGCGCTGCCTGCACGTTCACATGGCCTCGTAGAGGAGCACATATCGTTATTTCTTCTGATTTTATCTTTGAGAGGTGTTTCATTTGTAGAGCACCTCCGAGCGCCATCCGAACGGCATGATGGCTACAGGTTGTGGATGGCGATGGCTTATTCAGCAAGTCACGGCTCACGAGGATAACTCACGCTCTGACAGGACAATAACAAAACACACCAAAGTACAGACAACGAGGATTTTGCCTCGCGCGACCTCTGGTTGGTATATACATCGTACAATATGATTGAACAGGCGACCGCGATGTTTAATTACAGAATCTAGGACACAAGAGGACAGGCGAAGGTACGTGCTATCCAAGTGGATACAGCACACTCACAGCGATGGTGCCATACAAGGCTGAGCTCAATAGATAGCAACAGAATCCCCATAGCGGGAATACGAAGCAAGGAAGCAACGGGGAGGATATAAATCAGTGAGTATGAACATGCTCGAATCGTATTTCCATTATAGTCTCCTGCAGGTGAACAAACACCTGCCTCCACTCTTGCTCGCCTTTCCACCACTGTCCTACGCGCAGTTCGGCTTGTCGTCCATATGTCGCTTTACCGCATCGCGCCTCGTATACTCGCTTCCGCAGCGATGGCAAGGGTACATGACGCCGTTCCATCCAAGGCATTGCTTGCTTGTATCCATGTGTCGCAGGCAATCGTGGTAGCGCTGAAATATTCTGCCAGGACAGTGTGGGTAAGAATAGCGCCCGTCTGTGGTCTTCAGCAGCACAAGACTTGGAACAGGCTTGAGAACCGCCGCTGCTGTTGCCTTGCCCTTGACTGGGACGCTGGTTGGCGGGCGTGCGCGTTTAGGTGGGCGGATGGATTGGTTGGAGACGACAGGCACAATGGGGGGTGCGGGATCGATCCGTTTGCGCTTGCGAGTACTGCGCCGCAGGGAATGTCCCTCGCCTACACCTATTGTCTCGACTTGATGCCCTATTTCTTGTGAGGCCTTGTGCAGTGCTGTCGAGCCGGTGCGAGACTACGGCAACGACGGGTCCGAGGGAGGAACTGCCAGAGGCAGTCCAGCTAAGGATGGGACAACATCGATGGGATCCTTGTCATCACACCTAGCCTCGCTCTCATCAGCAGCTTCAGCGGCATCCTTCCCATTCCAGCCACTTTTATCCACCTCATCTTCGACTGAGGTCTCGTGGATGTCATTGTCGTATATAGTTGTTGTTGGTTCCTGATCTACCTCGTGTAAATCAGGAGCAACGACGCTAGATACGCGTTGCATACCTGCGCCGGGTGACGAAGTGTCAGTCTTGATGTCACGACCGCATGCGTCATTGAAGTTGATATGATTATTGGCCTCTCGATCGGATGGCGTCGCAGCTGTGCCAGGCAGGCTCGAGCCGATTTGGCCTGCTAAGGCGATGCCGCTGACTAGTCCATTTGCAGTTGGCCTCGACAAGATGTCGAAAGCAGATGGAGACCTTGCAAGCAGGTGGCCGTTGCTTAGAAACACTTTTGCAGGGTCTGACCATGCGGAGAAGGCGGCGGCGGCAAGCTACATAAGTCTGTTATATTTTGGGGCCCGCAGTGTCGAGCGGGCCGACCCGACGCCCCTGTGCCTAGCCGGGAGAACGATCGTAGCACAATTGCCAAGTAAAATACATCGATCCTGTAGAGTACTTGTACCGTAGCGCGGCCGTACCTGGCCCCCACGCGTTTGTAACAATCCGCCCATTTTGCTCGCTCGCGTCCGCGTTCCCACTCCCCTCGTCTCGTCCCCAGGCGAAAGTCAACAAAGTCGACTGTGAGTAATACGTGAATTACCGACAGGAGACAGTCATTCGCACCTTGAGCAAGTCATCGATGTCACTTACCAACTCCAGGGGTACATTCTGGCATCTCAATACCCTCGAGATTGGCAATGGCTGCAGCGGAGCTTGATCTCCTAAGAAGTCTGCGCGGAGATCTAAATACGAGTCAGGCTCAGATGAGAGCTGAGATACATCAATGAAATCAGAGAGGTTGAGAGCACAAGTCATCATGTTGCTACAGCAGAGTGGAATGAGGGGAGAGCAGAGAGCAGGAATTGAGCGGAGGCATCACCCTTTTCATTATAAATAGCCATTGGCGCGGAGATTAGCACCGGAATGTTGAATGTAAGCTTCTCATGACGAATGCGTGCTTCGAAAGCTGATGAGAGACAGCGAGTAGGATAGATTTGGTAATTTGCCAAGCCTTCGTCCCCATTGTTCTGACTATGCAAAGTACAAGGTACTCTCATTTTCGGCGCTATGCTCTCACTGGCGCAGGTCGTTATGATTTGCAGGGAGCAGCTATTCAATCTGGCACGGTCTGAACGGGCCAAATAGTGACCCAGGTCTGCTAAGGAGAGCATATATCCTTGAAGGCGTCGCACCGAGTCGCTTTCTACCATGGGGTTGCTTGGAGTGAAACAAGGAAGAATAGGATGCGCTGCGCCAAGACGATGGTACGCAAAGATGTAAGTTGACAGGATGAGTGTCGCGGATGGGTGTCGGATGATGGCGGAGGGGAAGGAGTACCTATTCCTTCTGTTACATGCGCTATATAATACTGCAGCCCTTTGCCTCTTCCTACATCAACAAAATGGTTCACGATGCATTATCATACCCTGAAATCACGATTTCAAACAATGACTGAATCTCCATTGAGACTAGATATAGCACCTCTCTTGGGAGACTCCGGCGACTGAGAATGACGAGTGGATGATGGGTTGGCCAGACTAATTGTCTGCCAATAGCTCCACATAAAAGCATGCCATGTTGCACCATAAAATAATCGTGGTTAGGGCAAGTCAGGAATGGCTGCATCGCTAACTGACTTTGAATGAGAAACTGTTATCTGGATGTCATGGATTGCGACGGCAGAAAACGTGATAGACGCCGATAGGGTACAGTCGAAAGGGTCGTTACCGAGAACGAGTTGGTGGCAACCAACGAGATACGCTGGAGGGATGAATGAAATATTACTTTTCTAGAAATGATAATGATTTCACGCAAACTGACCAAGGAATTTGCAATTTATATATAAAACGGAGAAGAAACAGAACATGAGCAATATCGAGAGCTGCGATCAGAAGGGAACATCATCTTACTACTGACTCGCATCCTCGAGCCATCCCAGCGCATCCGCCACATCCACATCACCCACGCACTCCTTCGACTCGCTCTTCAGGTGACGCACCAGTGCATCTTTCCGACTGCAGTGCGTCCCGCATCCACCAACCATCCATCGACCCTTGTGCTCATACGGCTCTGCACTCGCCGGAATGCCGTACTCTGACGCGAGCTCGACCGGCACCCCACAGCATGACCATTTTCCTGGCAGCCCATGCGTCTCTATATGCCGCTTCATCGAGGTCTTCAAGAGCACCAGACCGCACGACTTGCATTTCACCATGCCAGGTTCATCCATGTCCTCGGGATCAGGGACCTTGCCGTCGACCTGCGCGTTGCGTCTGCGGGTATGACGGGGAGAGCGACGGGTATTGGAGCTACCCGTACGAGGGAATGGTGATGAAGAGTCGCTCGCTGATACCGAGCATGAAGACCTTGCACGATTGCGGCGGTAGGGGTGATGGCAGTGTTCACGAGACTGCACGGAAGAGCGGATGGGCAGCGACAGAGAACGCGACGACCCAGCTTCACTGACGCTATCAGTGTTGCCTGGTGAGGACGTGATCGAGTCTGGTGAGGAGGAAGGGGTACATGGCAATGGAGGAAACACTGGAGACGATGAAAGAGCCGAGTTCGCCGCAGCCGCGGGAGTGTGCCTGGAGTGAGTGGGATCGCCCAGCGCGGAGGCAATCTCGTAGGTGCTCGGATGAGCAAGTAGAATGGGGTCGATCTCCGGATCAAATGTAGCGCATTCGATTCCAGTCGTGTTGTCGGCGTCGTATCCTGGAATCAGGAGCATCACATTATGAGGTGCAGTGCTAACGAAGTCAAGGCCGTGTTAGCGAGGAGTGCCAGCAGAAAAGTAGGAAACTCACGAGTAAATGTGTGAATACCAGACAGAGTCGTGGGCCTCGCGAGTACCGAGTGGGCTCTCCGCATAGAAGCACGAAGGCGCTTGCGATGGCTCTGCCGACCATAGAGCAGAAACAGACTGCCCAGCCTGGGTGTGTGCGCATGAGTCTAAACATAGGGACTGTTCAAAGGTCGAGGAAAGCCCCCATACATCGAGGGGATCGTCGAGAGGATATGTAGTGAAGGAAGTAATAGGATTGTATGACATCTCCACGAGGGGCGAGTGGCGTGTCGCGAATAAGACAAGAGCGAGGTGCTGGGGGCATCTCCGAGTGGTGCCCAGCCATGTCTTATATCCTGATGGTGCCCCGACATTGTGCAGCAGGGCAGTATGCTCGCCGCCTCTCGCCGCTGTTCTTGCGTCCTAATTGGGAGCCTGGGATGGGAACGTTTCGTTATAAGAACATCGTGGCAGGTGAAGTGGTGGGTAATTTGAAATATCACACGTGGCGGCGCCTACCGTGCCGTGGTCTCCGAGTACTTATTCGTACTGCGTTTTGGCGATTACCATTGAGACGATAGACTTATGGAATTGTCGGGCATTAAACAAACCTATGATACAGCGATCACTCGTTACCATGGAGCAGTGGTGGTCTGGGAGGAATATGCAGTACTGCAGGCATGTAAAAACCGTGTTTTACACAATACGCTGAATAGTTAGCAGACGAAGAGGAACCCAATTACTGAGACGATATCGTGGTTCATGTAGCCAGCAGTTGAGCCGTCGTTGATGATAAAGGTGACCTTTTGAGCTCCTTTTTAAGCTTCATCTTGAACGGCTCATGCTACTACACCTACGTCATGCTCAGGCTCGAAAGGCCATGGGTCACTTCCTAGAGGTCAGGAGCCTGCCATATACACCCAGGCGGATAGCGCATAGTAGGTCCATAACGCAGCAGGAGTGGATGAGCGTTGCACGGCTATCTTTTATACTGAGCAGGCTGTCGATGTATTCCAGCACGGCATTTCAGCAGTCATAAGTCCTATAGTGTGGCACTTGAAATGTGAACAAAGAGCGTCATTGAGGTTCACGTATGCGCACGTAGAAAGCCGCTTCGCAGCATGTGGCTGCTGCAGAACCAGACAACAAACTGGTAGTGCACAAAGGTTTGCGATGTCATCTCGCTGGTCCCGTCGAAGCGCGATCGCGCAGCAACGAGATCGACGTCTCATGGCGTAGTCTCTAAAACTGCGCCGCAGATACAGCGAGCTGACGCTAATGGTCTTCGCCTCAGCCATCACGGCAGCGGGGCCTAGCAAAGCCTCAAGCGAGAGACGATCCAGCAATAAAGATGGGAACACTGGTCCATAGTTAGACGTCAAAAAAGAGGTGCAGATATTTCGCAGAACCTTTCCTGTTCGCCGTAGATACACAAAGCAGTGGCATGTATCATATCTGGCTCAAGCATTTAGCAACAGCGATGATGATGTATCACGTACCTGGGTGTGATACCACCTCACATTGCAGATCCTAGCATCACTGACTGCTCTTGTCAGATGATATAAAATGTCGAAGAGACTGACAGAGCGTATACTTTTTTAGAACCGTCCAACAGAAGATGAACGGCTTTCCGTCAACGATCATGGTGAGGGCGGCGATTGATGCATCGGCGCGGTGAAGTCTGGACAGGTCAACTGAGATCTACCTCTGTGTCATGGGCATACCACTCGAAAGCTAGTGTTCTATCCGTGCTGAAAGAAGAGTGCGAAGTCCTGACTAAAGCTGGCTATGGGCCATCCGGAGACAGCCGGGTGGATCTGACGTGATCGAGATGCATCCGGCGCGTCAGCATGTGTTCGTAGCCCGCGCTCGAAGGTACGTCTCAACAGTGCACTCTCACACTTGATCTGGCAGCATAGGCATTACAAGGAATACCAGAAGTACTCATATACATGTACTGTCCAGGCATCGTGCCTGGCGAGAGGCTGAAGCGACGGTGTATATAAGATGTACTGTTACTTGGCTTACGACCTCTTCTACCTTCGACTCTAAACAGGAGCATGTCGTTTTGAAAGGAATCCCATGTAGTCATGGATGCTGCACCCTGGGTGCGACGGCAACAAATGCACAACTATATTCGCATTTTTATACAGGATGAGTTGGGGGCAACGTCCCCCCCCCTCCCCGCGACATCGGACCCAGTTCAACGGTAACAGCCATCTAGCTGTGTGTCGAAGATGAAAGTGACACAAAACTAGTCGAGGACTACAAAAATAACAGCGAGGTGCGTGATTCTATCCCTTTTGTCTCCACCGTTGTGGTCGCTTTGGGCCGAAAGGCATCCTTTCTCCCCATAGTGACGCCCAGTCGCTGTGCTGTACACAGTCGTATACTCCAAACTCCTGTGTTTGTGCATCGAGCGCGATGCGTATCTCTGCAGGATGGCGTAAGAGGGAGGGTTACATGGGGAACACAGAGTGACGGTGAGAACGTACGAGATGGGTAGAAGCCGGGCATGTTTGCCGAAAGAGATGAGAGGCGACTAGTTCGAGACTGCTGGTTATTTGCCACAGTGCTGCACGTCAGGTCTTGTCGAGCTGCTTATCAGCTGAGCGATATTATTGCAGCTGTGTTGGCGCGTTGAGCCGCGTCACGTCCGTTTCTTCTTCGCTGCCCGCCGCTCTGCGGGATGTTCCTCGTTCTCATCTCGCTTTCTCTTTGTCTTCTCCGTGGAGATAGCTTTCTCCTCGGATGACGTGGCTTGTCTGAGAGATTGATCTGAATCAGCGATGGGGCTCTTCGAGCAGAATGCGTAACAAGAGAGGTCACATCGACTCACCCTTCGGCACCTATGGACCCATTTGATGGCTGAAGCACGGACTGCTGTGTCTCAGCCTTGCTGTCAGGCTTCGGGCCTGGTTATATGAATACCATCAGTCGACTGCATGCCGCTATACTGGACTACGCTCGCACCGTCTGCTTTCTCTGTCTCATTTGACTGGACAGAGGAATGGCTCTCCTTCTCGAGCAGCCGCTTGCTCCGCCTGGCGCCCTCCGGTCTAGCCGTTATCTTGCGACGAGCTGGTCGGGTTGGCATCTTCACAGCAGTCGCAGATATGTCCACAGATGAGACAAGCCCTGGTGCTACCAGCGTTGAGCTTCCTGCTATTGTGCCACTCGATGGCAGTGGCCACGCCAAGCGGCGCAGCGCGGTGAAGATTTGAGCAGCAAGCTGCTCGTTCGCACTCTGTTTCGAGGAATAAGTCGCTAGGCATCGTGAGCGTCATTCGCATTACGTACCAGGCTCACAGTGAGCTCCGTCGCCGCTGCCCGTGGCGATTCTGGTAGGTATGGCATGCTCGATGCCACAGTTGCGAAGAGGGTGAGTGTGGTGGCCATTATGAGAACCTGTCGATGAGCTGTGGCGGTGTGGGTAAGGTGGATTTTTGATGGAAGTCAAAGTATGTGCTTTGCAGTGTGGTGGTCGAGTATGAGGAGATCGTGGCTGAGATGCCGACGCGATCAGTGGTCTTATACTGTGCGCGCGCAGGTCACGGGGTGGTGACTCGTGGCCACAAGTCCTTTGTGCCATTCGCGTTGTATCCTATCTTGGACGTTGTCATTGTACTCTTGTTCCACGTTTGTATCAGTGGCATATACGTTTATGTTGTCCCCACTCGATAAGCTAGACATTTTCGCGAGCAAGCATTCTGCACATCCTGCTATGAGGGAATGCTCAAAGGGGCAGCTTCACATTGTACATTATAATGCTATTGCTATAAACGTGTCGTCTCTGTACTCCAGCATGAAGCAAGCGCGAGATCCGAATAGAAATACATAGGAAATGGCAGAAGCACTGAGGATCCGGCAGACCAATACATGAGCAATCCAGCGTCACTCCTCGCTCGCGTCCTCAAACCATCCCAGTAGCTCTGCTCGCTCCACATC